TCATGAGGAAGAGTGTTGGCTGGCACTTGTTAGGACTGGTTGGGTGGAAGGAAAGGAGCCCAACAGTAGGTGGCGCCAGAGCCAATTGATGCCAGTTTTGTTGAGTTCCGCAAGGGCAACACAGAGACAGAGGAGGAGGAGGAGGAAGGTGATAGGCAGGGCCACCCCTGGATTGGTTATTAGTGAGAAGGCAGGCAGGTGGGGGTTTGCGGGGCAGTGCCCCATTTGGCCAATGGGCTGGCCTCCAGTACAGTGGTACCTCGTTAAGAACTTAATTCGTTCCGGAGTTCCGTTCTTAACCTGAAACTGTTCTTAACCTGAGGTACCACTTTAGCTAATGGGGCCTCCTGCTGCCGCCGCGCCGCCGCACAATTTCTATTCTCATCCTGAAGCAAAGTTCTTAACCCAAGGTACTATTTCTGGGTTAGCGGAGTCTGTAACCTGAAGCATCTGTAACCTGAAGCGTCTGTAACCCAAGGTACCGCTGTACATTTAAAAGCACTATGATGCCCCTTTCAACAAACATGGCTTCTCCCAGAGAATTCTGGGAGCTGTAGTTTGTTTAGAGTGCTGAGAGTTAGACCATAGATTGTAGAGCTGGGGATCATCTAGTCCTATCCCCTGCAAAGCAGGGATATGCAGCTGTTCCATACGGGGATTGAACCTGCCACCTTGGCGTTATCGGCACCAGGCTCTAACCAGCTGAGCTATCCACTTGCTAGAAAGCTCCTATCCCCCTCGCAGAACTTCCAGAGTGGTGTGACAGCCAATCCCTTTTCACAGGGAAATCTGAAACGATTTTCTATTGCTATACACTGCTTTGATGTTTTGTGAGAGGCTGATGAAGGCAAATGCTTTTGTAAATAACGCACCCGAATTAAGTGTCAGGTGTCTGTTGTCTTAACATATGCATCGTTGGTATTATTTCCAGGTCTTTCTGTATAAGTATCTCTTTGACGCCATGGTGCAAGGGTGCCTGGCGCCGGACAGTTTCCTCCAGTGACTTGACCTGAGGCCCGAGCAACCGCTTGGCCCCCACGTCCAGGATCAGGCCCGGAAGTCGGGCTTCACAGTGAGCCACTTCCGCGATCTCCTGGAGCTGCTCTCGCTCAACCTGACACACTGTGAGATCCCCGCAATCGACCGTTTGCAAATTGAGTACATCCACCAGGATTCCGGCACCGCACTTGGCACTGAGGTCGTGGCCTATGACCAGGATGAGGTCGGAGCCGCAGTGCGGTATTTCTTGGCCTACTGGAAAGGGCAGCGGGACTCCAGAGGGGTGGATGTTGAGGACGCCTGGAAGTGCCGCTATTGTGCCTACGCCGGCATTTGCGAATGGAGGATGGGGAAAGCCGGCAGCCCAGCAGAGCGGTGGAAAAAGTCCAAGTGACGTTGGTATGACCCAACCTTTGGGGACAAAAGACTAGGCCACAGTCTCCAGAGATCTACAGGACCATCCCTTTGTGCAGATCAGGGTTTCCCAAACTTGGGTCTCCAGCTGTTTTTTGACTACAACTCCCATCATCCCTAGCTATCAAGACCAGCAGTCAGGGTTGATGGGAATTGTAGCCCAAAAACATCTGGAGGCCCAGGTTTGGGATAAGCTGGTCCTGATGGTACAAAGTTTTCCACCTTCACAGTTTTGCTTCACCAGTTCGAAGAGACCATCTTTTTCCCCAACCACCACGACTGCTACTGACCCCAACCAGATGTTTTAATAGCCTGCACTGGTCTGGGTCAGGGCTGAGGGAAACCTGTGGCCTTCCAGATGTTTTTGGACACTGGTTTCCATCAGCCCCAGACAGCATGGACACTGGTTAGGGGTGAACTGAGCTGTAGGCCATCACCTCTGGATAATAATAATATTGTTATTGGACCAATCTCTGATCCAGCCCAAAGCTTTACATATCCCAAGCGTATAAATGATATTGGACTACAACTCCCACAATCCCTCACCCATTGGCTGGGGCCCAACATCACCTTCCTGTACAGAGTCATTGGGAATTTTGAGGGGTTCAAAACAAGTCCCCAGTTCTTCTACACCAGCTTCCAAACAGCTCTTCCTTCTATTCAGCAGCAGCCAGCTGTGTGGTTGATGTGCCTTAATGCAAGAAGAAGAAGAAGAAGAAAGGGGGAAGACTGTGTCTCAGAAGCAATAAGGTTTTAATGGCCTGACACGCTCTAAAAATGTCTTCCCTGGAAGGGCTTCCTTCTGCAACATGGCATCCTCCACCAGGAAAACGGAACAAGGCAGCCTGCACCAATCTGGTGCAGTGGGACTGATGGCAGCTGTAGTCCAGCACATCTGGAGGGCACCAGGTTGGCGAAGGTTGGACTGAGGTCTCAGGGTGCCCCATGTTTGGTGCCCCTGTGGCAGCCATGTTCAAAAGGCCATCTTTAGTCCCATGCTCCTCTAAGACACCCATCTCCCTCTTTCACCCCTTTTCTGGTTATTGGTGCATTCCATTTTCTTTCCACTGCTTGTCGGTGCATTCATGAGCCAGACCATCATGCCAAGAAAAGAGGGGAATCTGTACTTGTGACTGTTCCAAAGGACATTGTGTGTGTTTGTGTGTATATTCAGCCTTTCTGGCTTGGATGTGTTGATACAAATGCTCTGTTTTAAAAAATAATTTAAACCCCGCTTTTCCAGTGAAATGAAACAATTATACAATCAATTCCCCTGGATATACCATGCCAAACATCAGTGCCCCCTTCCTCCCTCTTTGATCTGGCACCTAATTAGCCCAAAGCTACAATCTGTATCAATACAGAGTCTGTTATTGTTGGCATCCATCTGTCTTGAGAGACAATGGAGTGTGCCTCTGGGGGTGAAGTTAAATCGCTGGAGAATCGCTGGTAACTCGTATCTGCTGTCTCCTACGTTGCTTCTGCTGCGTCAACAGCACCGAAGTGATCTCTCGGGGGTGCAAGTCTCTGCAGTATATATGGAGGTCCTGGGCTCCTTCCAAGCGTAGGAATCGCATTCCATTTTATGCAAGCTCTGGATTTAAGTCTGAAAAACGCATGGGCTGCTAATGAGAACAAGACCTTGAGGGGCCACCAGGTGGCAGTATGAGACACTGCTGATGGAAACAAAATTGGATCGACAAACACGATTCAAACGGGAGCTTTGCGAAGATGAAATGGGAAGTGGAGAATGGGGGTGGGGAGAGAAATCTAATTCAGACTCCCCCACAGATTCAGATGCAGGATGAAATGAAGGCGGCAACTCTTACTGGCTGGCAATTTTCTGGGGCTGCTGGGAGTTGGGAGCCCAAGAACATCTACAATGTAAAGTCTTTCTCCCCAGCATAAGACGTTCAATGTGTGCTTTAAGTTGCCATGCAAACATGTCCAACTGGGCTGCTCTCTATCATCTGTATGTCAAACTTCATCTTAAGGACTTGGGTGGTGTGTATTTTCTTTGATCGTACCACTCATAGGAGTGTACAAGACAATGTTTTCATTCCTCAACCCATTTCCTTTTGCTGTTAAAGTCCACATCAATATTGGCCAATCATTGGGGGAGGGGGAATCAGGTTTCTTGAGTTATCTTTTTAAAATCATAGAATTGCAAGGGACTCCAAGGGTCATCTAGCCCAACCCTCTGCAATGGAAGAATCACAGCTAAAGGAACCCTGACACATGCCCCCTCCCAACCTGTGTTTAAAAACCTTCAGTGACAAAGAATCCACCACCTTCCAATGTCATATCATGGGACCTGTTCTCTGTTGCTCTGTTTTTCCGAACACAATTCAAAGTGTTGGTGCTGACCTTTAAAGCCCTAAACGGCCTCGGCCCTGTATACCTGAAGGAGCGTCTCCACCTCCATCGTTCTACCCGCACGCTGAGGTCCAGCGCCGAGGCCTTCTGGCTGTTCCCTCACTGCGAGAAGCCAAGTTACAGGGAACCAGGCAGAGGGCCTTCTCGGTAGTGGTGCCCGTCCTGTGGAATGCCCTCCTGTCAGATGTCAAGGAAATAAGCAACTATCTGACTTTTAGAAGACATCTGAAGGCGGCCCTGTTTAGGGAAGTTTTTAATGTTTGATTTTGTTTTTAATATTCTGTTGGGAGCCGCCCAGAGAGGCTGGGAAGGCCCAGCCAGATTGGTGTGGTATAATAAATAATAATTATTATAATAATTATAATAACTATAATAATAATAATTACTATTATTATTATTATTACTATTACTACTACTACTACTCCAGAAGGCAATTATTAGAAATGGATGGAAACTGGAGGGAAGCAGATATCAGCTCAACTTTGGGAGAAAGTTTCCAACAGCAGGATATGATAAATAAAAATTAATTTATACATACCCCGCCCTCCCCAGCCAGGACCCGGCTCAGGGCGGCTAACATCAAAATATATAATACATTAAAAACAAAAAATCAAGCAATTGATACAGCTTAAAATTAAATTAAGATCACAATAAAATCAGATGGCAACCCACAAATTATAACTATAGGGGTTGGGAACATTAAGTGCTCACCAGGCCCCAACTCTTCCCATTTGTGTTATTTGTGCAAGTCTTAGCTATTTGTGCTGGTCTTATATGAGCCGGTGGGAAGAGTTAGGGAGACCACTTACATGCAGGGTCTTATAAAGAGAGGAGGGTCAGACTGGGACCCGACCAAAGGCCTGGCAGAACAGTTCCGTCTTGCAGGCTCTGCAGAAAGGTGTCATATGCAGCATATATTCAACACACACAAAAGAGCGACAATTTGTTGTTGGCAATGGACAGCTGGACATATAAATGGCCCCATTACCTTCAGTAGCTTAGGGCCTCATCAAACCTAAATCTGGCCCTGAAGGGGATTTTGGTGAGATCTTCCCATGTTGGCCGGAAAGTGGGGGGCAGGGGGGGCAGGGCTTGCAGCCCATGTTGGGGGCAGGGGGTGGGTCTAAACACTGTGACACACACCTGTCTTCATGTTCCTTCATCCTCCCCCCTGTGACGCCTGCATGAACAAAAAGCCTAAGACACCGATAGACACAAAATATTTTATTTTAATTGTGAATTTTGCAAAGACACATTTAAGCAACAAAATATACATTTCTGACCTTTCTGTAGAATTTGTTTTATACAATAACAAATACAAGAGGCTACCGTAGCAATAAATTAAATATACATTATTTACAACGTACATCAGCAACCGGCTACAAAGTGTCGCCTCCTCACAAACAAAAGAATTATATTTCATTTTGTCAGAGACCTTTCGAAAAAGAATTCTGCTTTTCTCTCACGCACTCACACTCCCTGCAACTATCATTTTTTTTCTTTTCATTAGGAGCCTAATTAAGAGGAAAATTTTCCTGCTCTGTTGAAATGAATGAGACCTTTTGGATACCCACAAAATCCAGCATTTACCTTCGAGGGAGATCATTTTAAATACCATGCTACAACCATGAAGAAGAAAAAGAAGAAAAGTGAAATGCATGCTTTGTATGTTTTGTTTTTTCACCCAACAAAAACAAAATTATTTTAGAATTCAAGGAGAAATGGAATTGTGGAGTTTCAAGGAAGGAAAATGTGCATTTTTATCCCTTCTTCAAAACTCTAGAATGCAGAATTGGCAACGGATATTTACCAGCAGCAGGTTCTGCGCAGACAAAAAAAGGATTTCTTTGCAGCAGCACATATTTTGCTGCCAAGAAGACATGATGACAGCCACCAGCTCAGTCGACTTTCATAGGGAATCAGGATAAATTCATAGAAGGTGGAGATATCAGGCACAGTAGGTCATTGGACCTGGGGACACACACTGGTGTGCAGAGGGGGTAGAGGTACAGAAAGAAGCAACCAAAATTAGCAAAGAGCTGGAGCAACACCCTTTTTGAGGAAATTTCACCGCTAGAGTTTCCTCATCCCTGCCCTACAGAATTCTGGAAGCATTTCAAAGTGATTCGTGAACCATTTTGGCTCAGAGTACCAGATCTTTATTTCCTTAGCCCCTGCTCCACAGGCCAACTCTGACCAGTGGGCAAGACCACCCAGCTGCCAATCACCTGAAGTCATAAAGTTCAAGCTTGCTTTCTGCCTGCCCCACCCTCAATGCCACATATGACTGTGGTTTGGGGAAAACCACCTCAGTGGCCAAATGGGGAGACTTGGTGGGCCAAATCTGGCCAGTGGGCCAGTGAAGGTTCCCTACACCTGCTTTAAGGCAATCTTCCCCAAACAGTAGTCCTCTAGCTCTTTTGGACTACAACTGCCATTGGGCCCAGTTAGCATGGCCGCCATCTTGTTGCGTTAATATGGCCCACAGGAGAAGGCAGCCTTGATTCTTCTCACACACAATCAAATATTCAATAGCAGCCTAGTCTCATCGGTGCCAAATTCGTGGACAGTGATGACCATGGCTTGACCACATGGGGGGTGGTCAGAGCCTCTCTTAAGTCAGCCCAGAAAAAAATAGGCTCACTTGGGAGCTCAGTTGCCCTTTATAGACGTATTAGTACAGCTGAAAGGTCAAGGGAGAGAAGCAAGACAAAGAACGATCCAAGAAGTCCTCAACAGCAGAACAGGTGGAAGATAACAAGCGGTAAGTTACAACGACTGTGAAGGCAGATGAAGGCTGCAGCAGATAAGAAACTATTGGACATTGTGACTACTCATGCCATCAGAATAGCGCCTTACTGCGAGGACTGTGTGTTGATCAGTGTGCACTGATCTCCACACATAAAGCAAGACGTCTTCCAAAAACCCACTCTACGGAACTCCTGGCCACAAGATGTTCTGATGGCCATTCGCTACAATAGCTTTAGGGGGAGATTAGACAATTTCATGGGGGGGGGGAGAAATTTGCTGTTGGCTTTCAGATCCAGTAGCTGAATTAGGCTCCCGGGTTCCCAGGCAGGGTGCCGGGGGTGAGGGCTGCCATTCGCTCTGGCAGTCATCTTCCTAGGGACATCTGCATGGTCACTGTGGTGAACAGCATGCTGGGCCAGACAAACCTTTGGTCCAGCAAGTCTCTTCTTATATTCTAGAACTGGGCTTGGGAAGTAAAGGGAGATAAGGAACAGAGCAGGACTTAAGTAAGGAGAAAAGATGCCATATTCTGAATTGGCTGTGGTTGTCTTTCAAGGGGAAGAAGTCCCACTTGCAGAACAAGTCCATTTGCATTAGAAAAAGGACACTTGACCTTAGCCCCTGGGAAGGGGAGAAATTAGCCTATAATATCACTATGAGTGATTATTTTTAAAAAACCAAAGTAACTTTCTCAAATCATCAGGAGAGCAGCGCTAATGACCTTCAGTCAAAAAGCTACAATTAAGGACAAGGAGCACACTGGTTTTGCAGATTTCAGAATACCGAACGGAAACAGGGTAAGAAGCGGGTTCAAGTATAATGTCAGCAGCAAACCCATCTCCTCTCCCCAGATGTCCTTTGGATCACGAGGGACGGAGCAGAGACAGGGGTCGGCGAGGGAAGAGAGTCCCACATCCTGTCAGGTTCATCTCCAGGGGCATCTATCCCAGCCGAGACGTGGCAAGGTAGCAGTTCCCTCAGGGTCAGACGGGGACATCTGCCTGGGTGAAGCACATTTCATACGTGGCAGTGGCGCATAGTGTGGCGGACGGACGTTGTCAGTCGAAAAGAGCGTTTTCACGTAAGAAAAACAGGAAGGAAGGAAGAAAAACCCAAACAGAAATGCCCTGGAAAAGAGGAGGGGGAAAAATTAGATGGGGGACCTGGCTAGGCAGGGGTACACTTAATATTCACACTGAATGTGTGTTTGTTTTGCAGCAGAAGGCATCATACAGCATAGCAATGGGATTTACTCCCAATCAGATGTCCACAGGGTTGGAAGCCTTAGTCCAGAGATCATCAAGCTTTAGTGGGGCAGTGGGTGCATTTGAAATGTTGAGAAAGTGAGGCGTGCACATGGCATTAAATGGCTGCCACATGATGCGTGGTACAATGGCTTCCTTGTGGGATAGGCCTAGCCACTGCGCACAGGAACTGAGTCGAGCGTATCACTGCATGATGGGGTGGGGCCTTCCGCTTTTAAAAAGATTGTTGTGCACCTGATCCTTGGAAAGCCCTGTTGGGATTGGAACTTAACAGGTTAAGTTTTTCCCATGGTGCCACACCATTCTGACGTCAGTTTTCGAAGTTGGGAGGAGTTTGGGAGGAGTTAGTCAGTCCCACTCTGTGTTCCGTGGGGAAAAGACGCAGGTCTGGCATGGCTGCAAATAGTCCTGGTAATTCCTGAGAAATGTTGGAATAAAAGCTGTAAATAGACAAACTGGACTCTGTGTGTTTGTCTGGAAGCTGAACCAAGCAACGTGACAGTTCTACACCGCTGTGCGGAAACTCTGCTGAGCCGTGACGGAGAGGCGCTGCGGAAGTGTGCCGGGCGGCCATATATCGCTAATCGAGGTTCGTAAATCAATTAGCGGGAGTCACGGCTAACTACCAAATGTCACAGGTTATGGATCCATAAATCATCGCTTGTAAAACTGTCACGGAAGATACTGCCGGGAGCTTTGAAGTCTGCGGTGTCGAGCAGGGGGCCGGCAGGAGGCGGAAGGACTTTTTGCCTGATGTTTGCCTGCGTCTAAGAGGCAAAGAAGCTGCTGAGAGAGCTGCTGGAACACAGAGCTAAAAGCAAGAAGCAGCTGGGAGCTGGAAAGCAGCTGAGAAATCGTTTCTCCACGGATGGGAGTGCCAGAGAAGCTTGTGAGTACAGCTTGGGGCCCCTTGGGAGAACGGGAGAAGATGGCAGACTGCCAGGATATACCAGTGGAAAAGCTCACTCTAAAGAGTTGGGCAACGTGGTCCAGGAGAATAAGGGGATGGTTCTTGATTGAAGGGCTCTGGGAAGCAAACCAGTGGGAGCCAAAAGAAACACCCCTTAGCCGGCCAGCAGCTGGAGCAGGTGAAGCAAGCTGTGGGGCTGTGTTGGCTGAAGATAGCCAGAGGCTGCAACAAGAGCTGAATATGCTCAAAGCATGCGTTGATGCGTCACTGGGGCCTCAGTTGGAGGGCGTAACGACAGCGTGGGCTGCCTGGAATTTGCTGAAAGGCTTGTGTGAGGCGTCAGCGAAAGGCCAGAGCCCTGGAGGAAGCCCTGGAGAGGCAGAAGGATGCCCAGAAAGCCCAATGGGGGCTGGAACAGTGTTGGGAAGCTGTTGTAATGCTTCTACACGTCTGTGTGATGGACTGAGTCCTGGAAAGGCTGGACTGGCAGGCCCTGTTCCCGATGTATTGGCCTCTAGGAGCGCTAGTGAGCAGATCGGGGGGGCGAAGAGTTCCAAAGGCAAGTTTAAAGGACTTTCCCTTTGTGCTGAAGCGGAGAGCAGCTTCAGGGGGGGCGAGGCTGGTGGGAGGCGCCGTTCCAGAAGGAGGAGGGCCAAGCCAGCTGGGAGCCCCAGGCAGTGTTTTTCCACTGGAGTTCGTCACACGGCGCAACATCTGAGTGGCAAGTGCCCCCACCGGTGCAGAGAGCCGCGGCAGGATGTTGTGAAGGACATTTCCCATGGGAACCAGTCGGGTTTCCATGGCAACAGGCCTGGGAAGACAGGCAGGCGTGGAACTGAGCCAGGTGGCCGTGGTAAACAGCAGGGAGAAGAGTCTTATCAAGTCTCGGCGAGTATGGCAGTGTTTGAAGACGGCCGAGTGGAAAATTCCGAGCTCAGCTTTGTTATTGACTCTGCAGCTAACCGCAACATGGTTCCAGAGACCCCTGCAGTCGAGAGGTGGAATTGCACGGCAGTTCCGAAGGGACAGACTATTAAGTTTGCAAATGGACAGAAAACTAGAGTTTCCACGTGTACTAATGCCTATCTTTCTGTTTTACAGGAGACGGTGAATTTATGTATTGTTCCAGAGATTCAACATTGTTTGTTATCTGTGCCTTATTTGTTAAGTAAGGGGTTCAAAGTTTGTTTTGAAAACGATGTCTGCACGATCTCCAAAGGGGGGAGGTTACTGGCCAAAGTGCGGAAGGGACAGAATGATCTTTTCATTCTTAAAACGTCTCTTGGAGGTGAGGGGAAGGTTGAGAAAGCACAAGCGTTGCGTGCTACAGTTCCCAACCAGCGTGCTACAATTCCCGCTCATAATGTTACATGTGCATGCGTATGGCATCAGAGAACGATTCACAATCCTTTAGAGGATTTGCAGGTGTTACCTGAGGTTGTTACAGGTTGTAAGATTAAAAATTGTCAAAGTGCCATTAATTGTGAAACCTGCAGGCTAGCAAAGGTAAAAGGATGCAGTTACCCAAAGGTGGAACGTGTAGCCACAAAACCTTTTGAGCTGGTTCACATAGATTTGTCCGGTCCTGTCAAGGCACCAAGTCTAGGGGGGGCCAGGTTTCTGCTCGTTTTTCTGGATGATTTCTCGCAGAATTCCTGGGCTCACGGTCTTAAATCCAGGGAGGATGCAGCACGGCTGATCAAGAGCTGGATTGAAGGGGTGGAACAGAGGTTCTCCACCAGGGTTCAAGCTATCATCAGTGACAGAAATGCTAAGTACACTGGTTCTGCTTTGCAGGAGTTCTTTCACAAGAAAGGGATACGACACACAGTTATTTCACCCCAGCAAGGTGGGGTGGCAGAGCTGCGAAGTGGAGCTCTAGTTCAGGCTGCACAGGTGTTGCTGAAAGATTCTGAGTTACCTCCAAGGTTTTGGCTGGAGGCAATCAAGTATGTGAGCTTCACCTGGAATCGTGTCTATAACTCATTGGTAGGTGACACACCGTTTTCTTTGTTAAATGGCCGAAAACCCCAGGTTCACTTTCTGCGGACGTTTGGGACCCCTGCGCTTGTCTCTGTGCCTGAGGCTTTGCGAGGGCCAGATGGAGCCAAAGTCCAGAAAATGATCTTCTGTGGGTATGAGCCAGAAGCCCGTGCATGGAGGTTCGCATTTCCATCAGGTGATCAGAGTAAGTTACTGATCAGTAAACACGCTGAGTTCTTTGAGCAGAGTGAGAAGCCAAAGATTGTTTTCCAGCGTGATCTTCTCTCAGATTGTCTCTCTGACCCAGAGGACAGTTGTGATGAGGAGGAAGGAGAGGCTGAGCCTGCTGATGAGGACCAGGTCCAAGATCAGGGTTCAGAATCCGATGATGATGATCAGTTCACTGACCAAAGTCAGGAGCAAAGTCAGGAACAGGAGGAGGTATCTGTAGTTTCTCCACAAGATGTTAAGAGAGCACCCAAAAGCGAGCCTAGTTCTCCTGTGAGTGTGATGGAAAGGATTCGAAGACGCTTTAAGTCAGAGGGGGAATCCCGTGATGCAGAGGTCACACCTGCTGGTGACGGTGAGCCAGAGGAAACATCTGTGTTTGTGCCTAGGAGGTCCAGTCGCACAACAAAGGGTATTCCGCCAGAGAGGTATCAGGCCACAGGTGCGTGGGTAAATTTCGCACAGTGCGTTTCTGAGGATTGTGAGGTGGTTCCACAAATGCCAAACAGGTCTGCCAAGGGAGGGCGCGAGGCATTGGGGGTGGGATTGATCTCACAAAGTGTTACTGAAGGGGTTCAACAGGTGCCTGGGAAAAATGCCGGAAAGGGGCACAAGGCAAAGGGAAAGGTGTTGAACTCAGAAGAGTCTTGTCAGAATGGGCGGCAAAGGGGGGTGTTGGGATTGGAACTTAACAGGTTAAGTTTTTCCCATGGTGCCACACCATTCTGACGTCAGTTTTTCGAAGTTGGGAGGAGTTTGGGAGGAGTTAGTCAGTCCCACTCTGTGTTCCGTGGGGAAAAGACGCAGGTCTGGCATGGCTGCAAATAGTCCTGGTAATTCCTGAGAAATGTTGGAATAAAAGCTGTAAATAGACAAACTGGACTCTGTGTGTTTGTCTGGAAGCTGAACCAAGCAACGTGACAGTTCTACACCGCTGTGCGGAAACTCTGCTGAGCCGTGACGGAGAGGCGCTGCGGAAGTGTGCCGGGCGGCCATATATCGCTAATCGAGGTTCGTAAATCAATTAGCGGGAGTCACGGCTAACTACCAAATGTCACAAGCCCACGGTGATTATTATTAGATTTGTACCCTGCCCATCTGAATGCGTTGCCCCAGTCACTCTGGGCGGCTTCCAACACACATAAAAACATAATAAAACATTAAACATTTTTTTAAAAAAATCCCCATACAGAGCTGCCTTCAGGTTGTGTAGTTCTTTATCTCCTTTACATCAGGGCTGCCTTCAGATGTCTTCTAAAAGTCAGATGTTTATTTCCTTGAGAGTGTTCCACAGGGCGGGCGCCACTACTGAGAAGGCCCTCCGCCTGGTTCCTTGTAACCTCACTTCTCGCAGTGAGGGAACCGCCAGAAAGCCCTCAGAGCTGGACCTCAGTGTCTGGGCTGAACGATGGAGGTGGAGATGCTCCTTCAGGTATACTGGACCAAGGCTGTTTAGGGCTTTAAAGGTCAGCACCAACACTTTGAATTCTGCTCGGAAACGTACTGGGAGCCAACGTACTGGCCTTTAGGGCCAGTGCTACATGGTCCTGGTGACTGCTCCCAGTCACCAGCCTACCTGCCACATTCTGGATTAGTTGTAGTTTCTGAGTCACCTTCAAAGGTAGCCCTACGCAGAGCGTGTTGCAGTAGTTTGTGGTGGAACAACTGCAAGCATTCCTGGATGGTAACTGGTTATCCTGATCAAGTTCAATCTGGGTTCAGGTCTGGGTTCTGGACTGAATCAGTCTTCCCTCACCCCACATGTGCTGCCTTGCCCTTGCAATTGTGGGGTCCCAGGCCACATGACGTTAGCACGCTGGGCACGCATGCCCTGTGATGTGTGCACACGCCATCAGCATGCCCCACAGCATGCGTGCACAGCTGCCACAGAACTTTGAGGGGACCTGGCTCCTTCATTTAAATTTGGGGTGACAAAGCCCCTGCCACCCCCCTCCTCAGCACCTCTGCCTCTTACCTCCTGCTGGATGCAAAAACAGAAAACAGAAGGTACAGGAGGACCATCTTTGTGAGACCTTAGCCCAACCGACTCACCTTTTTGGGAGGTCTGTAGTCTTATCCGTCAGCTAATGTGTCTGCAAGGAAAGGAAAAGGATCGGCTGACTTCACTTCATGCCTCATTTGCTCTATTGCAGTGATGTGTTGCCCTCCACGTATGTGGACTCCACCTCCCATTGGCCCCCACCCACCCCATGCATGGCCAGAAGTATGGGGTCCTGGAACTTGTATTCCGCTGCCTGGTTTCCCACAGCCATCTGGTTGGCCACTGTGAGGGCAGGCCTGATCCAGGAGGGCTATTCTTATTACGTCCTTAGACATAGTAAGTTAGTAGCCACTGATAGCCTTCAGCTCCAGGAATTTTAAAGCCGTCCAAGTTAGTGGCCATCACTGCCTCATGTGGCAGTGAGTTCCACTGTTTCCACTTTCCTTTATCTTCCACAGTCTTCTTTGGATGCCTTCCGGCGTTATGAGAGACCAGGGGGTGGGGACTTTTCTCTATTCAATTTCTCCTGCCCATGCATAATTTCCTAAACTTCAATCTTGTTGCCTTTTCTCTAAACTAAAAAAAAAAGTCCCAAATGTCCTTTCCTAGGGGAGTTGCTCCATTCCCTTTGATCAGCTTGGTGGCCCTTTTCTGAACCTTTCCCAACTTTTCTGTATCCTAGTTGCCGGGAACTGCAGATGGAGAGATTGCTGCTTCACTCATGTCATGCTTGCGAGCCTCCCCTTGGGACATACACATATGGTTGGCCTCTGTGAGAACAGGGCCTGGATAGCTCAATTGGATAGAGCGTAGTGCTGGTAACACCAAGGTTGCAGGTTCGATCCCTGTATGGAACAGCTGCATATTCCTGCATTGCAAAGCTTTGGACTAGATGGTCCTCAGGGTCCCTTCTAATTCTATGACTAGACTGGCCAATGTACAGGCTCTTCTTGTATGCTTATATTGCTGAACTACAACTCCCATCAGCCCAAGCAGGCATGGCTAATGGCAGGGGATGATGGGAGTTGTAGTTCCTGTAACATCCGGAGGGCCAAAGGTTCCCCAGCTGTAGATTGACCAATGTCTTAAGTCTACGGCAGGTTGATATGTTCAAACTTACCGGGCCAGAACTTGAATGGCTAAGTTTATCAAAACGAAATTTAAGATTTGACCTCGGAGAATTCCTGCTCTTCATATCTGTTTGAAATAATAATAATAACCCAGTGAAAAAAACGGTGTTTGCTTCAAATGATTGAACTCAAGAGTCGCCAATGAGGTGCTCTCTAAATGTCGCTGGATCACAACCCCTGTCATTCCTGATCATTCCTGTCTGGGAATGATAGGAGTTGGAGTCATCTAGAGGGCACCATTTTGGCTACCCCAGATTTAATGGAATGAATCTAAACCAGACTGGAACCAGTTTAGTTTAACAGAAGCCCACTGTTAAGATGGAAACATCAATGTGTTAATTTTGCAGTGGCCTGGAAGTGGGCGGAGGGCCCCCTGTTCACATGACTTTCCCCAAGCCATCCCGTGAACTGTAGTTTACCCCTTAAAGAACTACAATTCCTAGCACTTTTAACAAACTACAGTTTCCAGGATTTGGGGGCAGGGGGAGCCATGTGCTTTAACTTTATTGTGATGTACGCAGGGTTAGAGTCTTTCATTATTTCAGATTAGTTAAGAATTGCCCGGGAAAAGTCCCAGCAAAGGAAGAACGGATACAAAAACTTATGGAATATGCAGAAATGGCAAAACTTACCGGAAGAAGAAATCAAGATAACAATTTTTTAAATAAAAGAATGGAAATGGTTTATTGAATCTTTACAGATAGATTATAAGCAGATAAAAACACTGGCCAGATTACTGTAACAACCTGCTGTTTTATAAGAGCATATATTTAAAGAAGACGAATAAATGAGCTAATTAAGTTAATTTGGATATGCAGAAGATATTAAAAACAAATTTAAGGAACTGCAGAAAGAGGGGGAAGGAAGTCAAGTTATGAAATGTCAAAATGGTTGTAAAACTAGTGAAATGTATAAACTTGAAAAGTATAAATAGAAAAATAAATTAATAATAATAATAATAATAATAAAGAATTGCCCAGGAAAACAGGCAATATGGCTGCAGTCTCAACCCACTTCCTTGAAAGCAAGTTCCGCTCAACCTCACTGGGGTTTACTTCTAAGTAGGACTCTCCAGTGATCATCTTTTAGATGCTAACATCTGATTGTCAGGAGGAGAGCAACCGAAAATGAAATGCTTAACCAATTATTGAAGTTTTTGATGAAAGGAGTGGGAGAGGGGTGCAAAGAAAATGAGGGTGGGAGAGAAGGAAAGGAAACCTGAAGATCTTCCTCTTTTTCCTAGGTTGATCTGTGTGACAAAACAGACCCTTTTTTATATATGCTGATTTCTCCACAGTGCCCCAGCCATGCAGGTGTGCTTACTAATCACCAAGAGCAATCCAAGTTGGTTAATCGAGTGAAGCAAATTTCTATTTTTGTCACTGTAAGAGCCTCATGGGGAGCTAAGGAAAACTTGTCACAGATAAGTAGGATGGTTTCAAGGCAGCCCAGCACATTCTGATCTTACGTGTGCACTGATTCTGCTTGATTTTTTAAAATTATTATTATTTATTATTACTGTACATTTCATGTCAGCTTGGATAGCTCAGTTGGTTAGAGCATGGGGTCCATTTGGGACAGCTACATATTCCTGCATTCCAGTGGGTTGGACTAGATGATGCTCAGGGTGCCTTCGAACTCTACAATTCTATTATTTACAGACCGCCTTTTTTCTAAATAGCTCAAGGTGGCAAAGGCCCTACTCCTTTTGGTGCACTAATGTATCATTATCCCCAGGCCATCACAACCTTGAAGAAAATTAGCCGCAGTTAATTAACTTTTACACTTGTCTTACACTTGTTGATTCCATTGGATTTGTGATGGTTAGCATCCTGCTCAGCATACAGGGTCTGACTTAGTCACATGTTACTTTCAGGGGCTTCGAAGTGGGGCTACACAACCTATCACACACACACACACACACACACACACACACACGTCTGACATTCCCTTTTCACACTCAAGCTCTAATTAAATTTGAACATCTATTGAACCTAGCCATTTAGCACCCACAGACCAATAACTATATAAAAAAGTACAAGTTTGAAGGCGGAGGACAGAAGGAAAAAATTGCCACCCAACATGTCTGACTGAGGGTGGATCTACACATGGGGGAGGGGATGCTATAAATAAGTCAGAAACAAAATTGTTTTAACAAAGAAAAACCACTATGGAAAGCCGCAAATATTTTTTATTTGCTCTCCAGCGCCATCTGGTGTTGCATGTTTATAACGCATTCAAAATGCTGGGGGTTTTTGGGGGTTTTTTTACTAATGTAGCTGAGTCATGAGACATCCATTGCCATAACCAGGGGCAGACTTTGGTAATCTTTAGTAACGTGAGTGGGCCCCAAACTTGGCACCTCCATTTGGATCTTCTCAATTATGGATCTTCTCAATTTTTGCGCCCCCTCAGCTCAGCACCCATACTGCCTGAAATCCACAACCAGGCTCCTACTAATACCATCTTGGTAACTTTTTCCCAACTCACCTGTTGGGCTCCTGCTCATTATCACCGGTGTGGCGGCAGATGCCAGAGCCGGATTCTCGTTACTTTGGGAAGGGCTGTAGACAAAGACGTCTTGCTTGAATGGTGACGCTGTGGAAGGCTGGCTGCCCTGAGGGAGATCAAGGGAAAGGGAGAGAGTTGGAGGCTTGATGGCGAGGTGCAACACGCATTTCGTTCCTGGAGTATATTTGAGGAGGGGGAACTATGTGGTTGGGGCAGGGGTCACCAACGCGGAGCCTGCAAGTGCCCGTGTGCCGGCCAGTTCCTCCTGCGGTATCCGCAAAAGGTCTCAGGAACTATCCCCTCAAAAACCACAACACGCAAGGGAATGTTTGTTTCTCTTATTCATTGCCTGGCTGGTCTTCTCCTATGCAAAACTCATTACGCCAAACAAACCACGGCAGCCATTTTGTAATGTTCCACACGCGCCACGCTGGCCATTTTGTAATTTGCCCCATGGCAGCCATTTTGTGACACGCGGCACAATTACAAAAGCGCCCCCTGAGCCAAGAAGGCTGGTGACCCCTGGCTTATTTGCATGTCGGAAAGATGGATGTGGCTTCGAGACTGAAAGGCTGAAATGATATTGTGCCCGAGGAGAAGATGGGGGCAGCTGTGTGCCTCCTGGTTTATGCAAATGTCAACCAGTTCAGGAACATTGGCCCCCTGAGAGACCAGTCAATATCGGGAAGCGAAAACTGCATTATTACCAGGCTTTCGTATTCTTCCATATTTTCACTCTCCCCTGCCGTGCTGCTGAAGCTGCTGGTACTTGAGGATGAACGGGAGATGTTTGACCTTCCGTTTTCTTTGAGTTTAATAAATGGCCTGAAGTCAAAGGAGAAGAAGGCAGAAAATTAAAGCTTGATGGTGGTGATGGAGCTTAGAAAAATCTCCATCTCTGAATTCCTCCCCCAGGATTCAGGGTTCTGTGATACCCCATCTTGTTTCCAGAGCTCATCTGCCATCCTTTTTTGTTCTCCACCCCCCCCTCCCAGGTCAGACTTTGGGTTGTATCCACAAATTCACAGTATACAATTAAAGCACAATGATACCACTTTTAAACAGCCAGAACCTCCCTCAGACACAGATCTGGGATCTGTGGTTTGTTCAGGAGTAGCTGAGAGTTGTTAGGAGCCTCCAATTCCCCTCCCAGAGCTACAGTTTTTAGAGTGGTTTAACAATCAATCTCTCTTGAATCCTGGGAACTGTAGTTTACTCTTCACAGAGCTATAGTTCCCAGCACCCTTTACAAACTACAACCCCCAGGATTCTTCGGGGGAAGCCATGTAGTTTCAACGCATGGGACTTGTGTTTACTTACCTCTCCTTGTTGGTACAGATCTCTGGAGAGCTTGGGTTTGAAGAGGCCTCGGACCTGATTTCTTGAGAGGTGTGTCCTCCTTCAGGGGTCTTCGGTGTTCCTGAGCCACTGTCACTATGAAGAGAGTAAAACACTAGAGTAGCATAACTTTCAAACACATCTATCTTGCCTTCTCATACCGTTAACATTCTGTTTCAGCAGGTCTCAGATGTGGATGTAAGGCTGGATAGGAACAGCATAAATAAGTGTGTGTGTACAGAGCTGTCAGCTCAGTGACTGCTCCATCACTCTTTGAATCCAGAGGTCTGTCCCTGAAGTGAGGAAGAGCAGAAATGATGAGGTAGGAATCTCTGCCTTCCTCAGAGGAATAAATTTGTGGCTGGCAGGAAGGTGAGGAATATCTCTGCTAATAATATTTTTCTAATGGTGTTGTCACGCTGCAGTTCACATGGCTGCCAACGGGTGTCACTGCAAACTACAGCATGACAACAAAGTGATCTCCCAGAGATGCAGGGCCATAGCAGCAGTATAGGAGGGTGAGAAGAAGGGAACCAGAAGGTGGAGGCTGTCAGGCAAGTGAGTCATATGAATGACCAGCCTGGTGCCCCAGGCCAGTGAGTGAAGGTATTGCAAAGTCTAAGGGAAGGGGGTTTTTTTGGTGAGGTGTCAAGAGAAGGGTGGCTTTGACAAAGGGTATGGAGTGAGAGGAAGAGTGGCTTTCATGAGATGAGGGGTGGTGGTCAGGTGGAGCTGGGTGCAGCTCCTAGTAAACACATATATAAATGTAGACACGCTAGCATCCAGCACAACTAATTACAACTGCTAAACAAATGGAAAAATCGTTAAGAGGTCCGCCTCAACCCTCAACAATTTTCAAGTTGTCCCAGGGGCTGCAGAGTTTAAGAGCTATGGCTACAAAGAAAATAAAACATATAGTGGTACCTCGGGTTACAAACACCTCGGGTTACAAACATTTCGGGTTACAGACTCTGCTAACCCAGAAGTAGTACCTCAGGTTAGCCCCAGGATGAGAACAGAAATCGCACAATGGCGGCGCGGCGGCGGCAGGCCCCATTAGCTAAAGTGGTATCGCAGATTAATAGTGGTTTCAGGTTAAGAACGGATCTCTGGAACGAATTAAGTTCATAACCAGAGGTACCACTGTATTGCGATGGCTCCAGAAATGCACTGCACCAGAACTACCCATCTGTTCCGAGCAAGTTACCATCGAGTCCGAGGCTCTGCCTGGCTCTCTGATCCAGTGTGCAGACGAGGGAACAGCCCTGACCGCCTCTTTATGGGACTCCTGGACTGGTTCTTGGCTGTAGCTGCTGATACCGGAGGCTGAGGAGACAGGCAAACAAAATTATAACCCTTTGACCAGGCTCACAGTTGCCTGTGAACTGCATAGCAAACTTTATTTTTTATTTTACATACTGGCAATGCATATAAGACTATAAAATAATCCCAAACATAGCCCAAATCTTCCATAAGTGCATAAGATACTGTTGTACAAACAAACACACTTGGTTTATGCAATCAAGAGTACATCTCCTTTTTGGACTGGGGAATAGAATGAATGTTTTGAAACACACAGAGAAGAAGAGGTTGTGACGGCATGGCCGCCAGCCAGTCAGTGCTGTGCAGAGCCAGGTTCTGTCACAAACAAGGGGTGGACACACCCTAGTTGTACTGCACTTACAGAAAAGGTGGCCTTTGTTATTTCGCCACTGTTGTGCGCAATCCCTCCGCTCAAGCTACCAGGGATTCCTCCGCTCTGATGCTTCTTCTGACTCCCAACCATGGTTTCCATGGAGTGACTGCGGACCCGGATGGCTCTCTGGCAAGGGGTGACAAGAAGAAGGGGAAAGTTAAGATCTTGATCAGAAATTTGCCACAATTTACCATTTGAAATAACGTCACGATTTTGTACTATAGTATCTCACTGGAAGGACAGATTGTGAAGCTGAGGCTCCAATACTTTGGCCACCTCATGAGAAGAGAAGACTCCTTGGAAAAGACCCTGATGTTGGGAAAGATGGGGGGCACAAGGAGAAGGGGACGACAGAGGACGAGATGGTGGAACAGTCTTCTCGAAGCTACCAGCATGAGTCTGACCAAACTGCGGGAGGCAGTGGAAGACAGGAGTGCCTGGCGTGCTCTGGTCCATGGGGTCACGAAGAGTCGGACACAACTAAATAACTAAACAACAACACAACAACAACAAATCTACACATTGCAAACTGTGGGTCTTAAGTCACCCAGAAAAACAACAACCCGAAACCACATTATCAGTACATAAGCGGGTGGTATCGGGAGGTTTGGGGGGGGGTGGTTAATACAGGTTTGTAGCAGTACAAAAATATTTATGGGGGAAATACTAAGGAGTGAAAAGAGCAGCTGCCAAATGTAGATCATGCATGCTCAGTGGGCATGAAATACTGAATAGGAATAGAGTAGCGTGGGAAAGGGTGTGGCTGACTGGCTGGATCCCCCAAAATACAGGAGTCCTCATATTTACTGACATTCTACCAACTCTTTAAGACACACCTGTTTAGATAAGCATCCCCTGACTTGAAGCTCTTCCTTTGGCTGCTGTTTTAACAGTTAAGATGCTCTGGTGTTCTTGCTTGAGTATCTGTATTAATGAAGGGTACCTGTATTCTTTTATATTAGTTTGATTCTTGTTATTTTTCGTTTGTGAGCTGCCTTGGAATTTCTTCATGAAATGAAAGGCAGTGTACAAATTATGTTCATAATAGGTTAACAGGAGCCATAGGCGCCAACTCGATAGGGCTGACGTGTCCTCAGCCTCCTCTCCCCCAAAAGAAGTCTGTCGGGATTGGGCTGAGCCCCACCCCCGCCCCAAGCTTGAGGGGCTGGATCTCGCGGCAGTGGGGGTGAGCCTTGTGGCAGCAGTGACCCTCACTGGGCCTCGCTGGGCCTTGCCTCCTCCTGCTATCGACCTCCTCCTGATGCGCATCATGCATTGTGCAATGCTTGAGACATCACATGTGTGTGACGCCCCCCCGCCCCCCGCCCCGCCCCCAATGTTGGGTGCAACTTGACTCCTCTGACAGGAGCGCTCACTGCAATAGTTAAAGAGATTGGTTGTTTACTGTAACTAGACAGTATGGTGTTATAGAGTTATCTCAAGTTCCCAGTAAGCGTATCTTTGCACAGAGCATTGTGCATATCCATCCTTTTTGTGTGGTGCTTTGCAGGAGTGCAATCTTGATATACTCATAGTATGACTGCATTGAGATTATTTTTGTGTGGTGCTTTAGCAGCGCACAGGAGCGCATGCTTGCCCCTGTAGGACCCTGCCCAACCTAAGATCTGCATCAAATACCCTGACGTCTGGGCTACCAGTGACAGCTGTTAAACTGGTGTGTATGGTGTACCACAGGCAAAACCAAACCCGTTTCAGGTGGTGCCCCTGCACTTTGGAACTCCTTTCCTAGGGAAATGGCTCCCTCATTGCTAGTCTTCGAGAGGTCCTTAATGGGATTTTTATTCCAGTCCACATCTGGCTAACGTTACAGTGTTGTGCTTCCAAAAATTAAAAAAAGGTGGGTCCTAAGCCATTCAGTTCAGAGATAAGGTCTTGTAGCACATGGGCAACTAGTGGAAACCTTTTAGGACCCAGTGTTATGTGTTCCAGGCAGCCAAACCGCTTGATGGTCCAGCACCTGCATTTTGCACCAGCTGCAATCAGCAGACCATCCTTGAGGGCAGCCCCACAGAGTGTATTCAACAGTAATCTAACTAGGAGGCTTCCACAGGATGGGTTGTTTTTGCAAGCTCAGGAACAGCCTCAGCTAGCAATCCAGGGGGAGATGGAAACAAGCAGTGAAGCCACTTGGGCCTCAATGGTCAAAGCAGGAGGCAGGAGGACCCCCAGACTATATGCCTGGTCCTTCAGGGGGAGTGCAATTCCTGGACCCCAGATCTACCAATCCACAGCACCTCCATCTTGTCAGGATTCAGTTTCAGCTTGTTGGTCCTCAAGCACCACTAGGGGTTGGACTAGATAACCCTTGGGGTTCCTCCCAACTCTACAATTCTATGGTTCTGCCTTCTCCAGAAAACTGTGCTGCACCTGATCCAGATGCAAGGGGGAAGCAGAGCTAAGTGTTGTCCGTATACTGGAGACACACCATGCTCCCTCCATGAGTTGCAGAGTGGCTCCCAGAGGATGTCGTTGCCAGTAGTTTTGCTGATAGCTCAAGAAGCATTAACAGATCATTTCCTCCATTCATCTCCTGGCATAAGTTGGCAAGCATTTCATAACTTCACAGGAAGCTGTCTTAGTATAAGGCAGTCAGACCCTTGATCTATCTAGCTCAGTATTATCTCTGCATTGACTGGTAGCAGCTGGAGAGCTTTCTGTGGGAATGAGAATCTCTAGGTGGATGATGGTAACCCCACACTGGCATTGGGAGAGAGTGTGCACATGTGCAAAGATACCTCTGGCCCTACTCTGCAAGCAGCATACATTTAGAATCTTACGAGGATTCCCTATGCATGATGCAGCTAGGTTGATGGAGCAGTCCCTAGTCATCTCTGGATCTCAAAGGGGAGACCTTTAAAGGACTGTTGGTGAGCAGTCATAGAATCACAGAGTGACCCCAAGGTTCATCTAGTCCAAGCCCAGCAACACAAGGATCATAGCTAAAGAATCCATGACAGGTGCCCACCCAACCTCTGTTTAAAAACCTCCAATGAAGGAGAGTCCACCATCTTCCAAGGTCACAGCCTTTCAAGGTCATGGTAACATCATGGTAACCCCTCCTCTGTCACTCCAAAAGGCAAGGTTAGAAATGGATGGAAATTGGAGGGAAGCAGATTTCAGCTCAACTTTAGGAGAAAGTTTCCAACAGTAGGATCTGATTGGCAATGCAACATGTTGCCTCAGAAGGAGGTGGGCTGTCCTTCACTGGGGGGATTTCAGCCAAGGTTGACTGTCGCTTCCTCAGCCCTATACTTCTGTGACTTCTCCCAGGTCACACCAGTTTCTGCCTCTGCCTCGTAATCCAGGATTGCCCCTTGGTGGTGACCTCAGCAGCCTGCTGAACCCAAACTTCTCTGCTCTCTTGCATCAGCTCCCTTGTCTTCTGTAGGTTTTATGAGCCATGTGAATGATGGGCAACTTATTTCAGAATGGCTCACATCAAAACAAGAGCTAGTTGCACACATTTCATAGAAACCAATACACACGTCTGATTGTTCTCGAAACAAATCAACACTGAACACAAGATCAGTTTGCGGTTTATTAGTATTCTGTACATATAACAGAGAGAGAAGGGGAAATCGATGCGTGAACACAAACACATGAGTTGGGATTCTCTGCATTTCTGGCAAGCATATCTGGTTGGCCACTGTGTGAACAGAATGCTGGACTGGGTGGGCCATTGTCCTGATCCAGTAGGGTTTTCTTATGTTCTTAATAGTCCTCCCCCCTCTACCTCCCAACATTAGATGCTTTTATTGTTCCTGCTCTGCCCTGAATTCCACTCTTCCTGAATACCAACTTCTCTAGAATAAAGTTTCTGAATTTCAGAACAGAAGCGTTTGCAATTGGCCAGCAACTTTCCATGTCTTCAGTTGGCCACTGACTCATGATGCATCTTCATGGACATTGCAAGCTGTCTTGAAGCTTGCATGTCACAGGTAGAAAAGCTGCAAACTTCTTTTGGGGTATGTAGTCAATGGGTTGTAGTCAGGGCCATTTTTAGCATATGCACTGCCAGGGTGCAAAGATCCGCCCAGCGCCCCCAAATTCAGTTAATTTCGCATGCATGGCACAGTTGAGAATGACAAGCACCGTCATTGAGTCTGACTAGTGCCATTGTTGCGAATGACAAGTGCCGCCGCTGGCACGGCGTGTCTTTGGTAAATGAGCGCACCAAGTCAAAAGTACTTTAATGAAACAATAGGTATACATTTCGGTAATACCTAGGTATATATGTATTTTATTTTTCTAGCTTGATCAAAATTATTTATTATTTCATAACAGGTAGATAGTTAAGAGCTTAGGCGGTTTCAGCGGTGGGCGCCGGGCGCCCCCCAGAATGCAACGCCCGGGTGCCCCACACACCTTGCACATCCCCCCGGGTAAAGACGGCCCTGGTTGTAGCAGCCTATGTTGAAAAATGCCCTTTTCCTTCCAGCCACCCAAGCATGCCTCACTAGCTGAGGGATGACAATCTCAAGGCAGAGGCACATGGGAAGAGGCTCTCCTTCAAATATTGCGGTCCTGAGCAGTGATGGACAAATTTCAGTGGTGCCCTGTGCAATGCTAGAATCCAGCTCCCCCTGCCTCTCGTGCTCCATTCTACAGGATTGTTTTGGCGCCTCCTGCAGCATGGCGTCCAGTTTGGTTGAACTGGTCATGCTGCCCCAAAACCACCTCCATCTCAACCCATTAAGGGTTTTCAAGGTCAAAGCATTCAATAAATATCTTCACAAAACCATATCTATTCAACCACGCCAAGACTGCATCTTTGTAGAGTTTTATTAAAGCACAAAAGGAATCAGTAAAATGTACTGCCCACTGAGAACCTCTATGCAGCCATCAATATCATATCTCAATATTACTTTTTTAAACTATGTTTTATATGGGCAATAGAACAGTGGGGAAGTGCGTGGAAGAGATGTAAATGAAGGAATTCGAAACTGTTCACATGCAGATTTATTTTGGGTGGAGTGGCGGGAATCAATAAAAGAATGTCGGCTCTGCTTCAGAAAACAAAATCCAGGAATCCACAAGTGAAGGCACTCCTTGAAGGCCATTCAAGGAAAGACTGGGAAGTGTTCCTCAATTTCTAAATCTCAAGTTCATTTCTCCACATTTCCACATCAGTTTGTGATTTGTTTGTTTTTAAAGACTTTGTGAAAACTGATTCGCATTTTGGTGTGGAATTCTGCTTGTATCCCATTTCTCCCTATGTAATGCACTTCTGTTATTTTCACCAATATCTGCATTTTCTTACATGCACACTTTCACAGTGGTATATGCATTCTTGGACATTTTTTTCTGGCTGGCCTTGCAAAATTTCAAAAAAACCAGGGTCGTTTCGGTTTGCATATTGTTTCAAAAAGCGTGAATGAGGTAGATGAGCCTTTAAGGGCTAACTGAATCAAATTCCTCCCCCATTTCTAGACTGAGGACAATCCAGTACCTCCTTGCAGGAAACAACAGCCCCTGAAGCAGGCGGGACTTACTTCTGAGTAGATCCGTACAGTTTTGTGCCGTTACTTCAAGCTACCTTACCACTACCTGCCTGACTTCAGAGCTAACTGGAAAGAAAAATCTGATTCCCTCAGTCTGTGAAAGTGGCAACAAAGTGAAAATGAACTTCTGTGATTCCTTGCTGCGTCCTGGAGGAGGAGGGGAGAGAGATACCCGTCTGTTTCCCCGTCTCTCGTCCCATTACATATCTACACGGGAAACACGCTGAGAAGTAAATAAGCTATCAAGCAGACCAGCAGAGCTGTCCAGAGGTAAAAAGGCAGCTGCAAAATTATTTCGACAGTTGTTTTCCTCGCAAGCCCTGGGACACCCTGAAATGCCAAAAGAGCAAGGAAATCCAATTTCATATCAACGCGGAGAAGGCATTAGAGAGAAGCGTTAGCATGTCTGGGGGGGGGGGTATCTTGTAACGAAATGGTCCTTTCTGACAAAGGTTTTGGGAGATGTTCCAAGCAGCTGCAGCTGGGGAGATAGTGTGGTGCGCAGGAAAAGGCCGGGGATCTAGGAAGAAAGGATCCCACCCCATGGCCTTATTCGGAAGCTGCCTTTGTGAATCACATTACTGGCCCATCGAGTTCAGTATAGTTTACACCAGAGTTCCCCAAATTTGGGTCAAATGTGGACCACAATTCCAAACATTCTATGGTTCTCTCCTTGCTGCCAGACACCCCTCCGCCCCCTTTTTACAGCACTGGACTGCTCCAAGTGGACCCGATCCAATTGCAGGCAACATGAGGCTGCCTCAATCCAATATGACCAAATCCCATATCAGCCTGTTTTGGTTCAAGATCTTGGATTTGCCCAGATCTGGTGCACAGTCCTAGCTTCAACCCTTTCCCCCACACCGCAGTCTAGGCCCCAGACCTGACGAAAACCGGAAATCGAGAACAAAGCTTCTCCGTTACCTTAAATGATTCCAAGAACCCTCCGTGGGCCCCATTCTCCAGCTTGTCCTCCTCAGAGCCCAAGCCTAGCATCATTTGTGTGTGGATATGGAGATCGTCATGGAGGTTGTCCAAAAGGGCGGCTCGTGTCCGGTCCTGAAAGCATGTTGGGAGGCAACAATGGCTTTTAAAGGTACAACTGATCATGGCCATAGTAGCAATGCATTGATAGGTTGGGTTCTCATGATGCTGTAACAGCCTTGGCAAAGAGGAATCCAGAGGCTGAGGGTGGCCTCATAGCCCCTAGAGATGGTTCCATTAGAGTGAATGGGATGGTGGCTTACTGGGAAACGATATATAATGAAAGGAAAAGGATGTTTAAAATAGCGTTTGTAAAAAAAGAAAAGCAAACCAGAAGCTTTTCTTTGGGGAATTATAGGGACGGACCTACCTAAACTTTGTAGAAACTTATTTATGTATGCTACTTCAGTGGCAAGAATGTTACTTGCTCAGAAATGGAAAGAAGAAGAAGTCCCAGCAAAGGAAGAACAGAGACAAAAACTTATGGAATATGCAGAAATAGCGAAACTTATCGGAAGAAGAAGAAATCAAGATAACAAACTTTTTTATAAAAGAATGGAAATGGTTTATTGAATATTTACAGATAAACTGTAAACAGATAAAAAACATTGGCAGGATTTTTGTAATACCCTGCAGTTTTAGAAGAGTATATATTTAGAGAAGATGAATAAATGAGCAAATTAAGTTAATTAGGATATGCAGAAGATGTTAAAAATAAATTTAAGGAACTGCAGAAAGAGGGGGAAGGAAGTCAAGTTTTGAAATGTCAAAATGATTGCAAAATCAGTGAAATATATAAACCTGAGAAGTATAAATATTGTTTTATTTTTAAAAAAGAAAGTGAATGGGATGGTGTCCCCCCAGCCTCATCCTGCCCTTCAGCTGCCTCCTGCCTGCCTGTCTGCCTTCATACTTACAACCATTCCAGGAGATGGTATCTCAGTACCTTCCTCCTTGGTCTCTCTTTTTCCCTATAGACCTCAGCAAGGAGGAGGATGGGGACAAAACTAGAAGGAGAAGGCAGGGAGACCACCAGTAAGTGGCAGAGAAGCAGACGGCCAGCAGAGTCTGCTCATTCTAGTTTCATCCCTGTCCTCTTCCTCCCTGGTGAGTTCCACAAGAGGAAGGCTGAGATTAAGGAGGAAGAAGAAGCTGACAGCCCAGGCCAACCCCCTGGGATGGTGGCAAGTAAGAAGTTAGGCAGGTGAGGGCTGGCAGACTGGCAGATGAGTAGGTTGAGTAGGCTTCATACCTGAGGGAGTGTCTCCACCCCCAGCCTGGTCCAGCGCCAAGGGCCTTCTGGAGGTTCCCTCCCTGCGAGAAGTGAGGTTGCAGGGAACCACACAGAGGGCCTTCTCGGTAGTGGTGCCCACCCTGTGTAACGCCCTCCCATCAGATAACAAGGAAGTAAACAACTATCTGACTTTTAGAAGACATCTGAAGGCAGCCCTGTTTAGGGAAGTTTTTAATGTTTGATCTTTTATCGTGTTTTTAGTATTCTGTTGGGAGCCACCCAGAGTGTGTAAAAATAAATTATTATTATTATTATTATTATTATTATTATTATTATTATTATTATTCATTGTAATGACCCAGCGCCCCACTGGTGGAAATTTCACCTAGGACAACTAGAGAGCAGTGAAAAAGCAAGAGCTCATGGGGTTTCAGAATGAAGAGAAACCATCAGATTTGTTTCAGGAAACTGAGCCCTCCTGTATGCAGCTCAGCCGTTAATTGGCGATAAGTATGTAATTAATAGAGCTGCAAGCTTTAATCTGCAGATGAAGCAAGATTAATCAACTAAAGCTTTTGTGGATTAATCAGTGGGAGGTAATTTTAATCAGGGAGGGCAAAGTTTAATTGGTGGGTATACGCACACACAAAGTGGAAACCTATACACACTTCCCTGAGAAGATTGCACTCTAAGCCTCACATAACTAATATGCTAGGAATTATTTGAGCAAGTGACAGCCCTAATAATGATAGGCTACATGGGGAATTTATTAATATTTCCAGTGGTTGCTGGTGGCCATTGGGACTGGTAGGGTAAAAGGCAAGAAGCTCAACAATATTTGAAAAAAAATTATCTGAAGAACTTAAAGGTATTTACTTGAAAAACAGGCTGTATAAATGTGCCTCCAGACTGCCAGTGTTTTTCAGGTGGGATTCAAATACATACTAAAACTTTATCTTGGCTCCTTTAAGGCGAATGAAAGGGAATAATAATAATAATAATAATAATAATAATAATAATAATAATAATTGTTAAGTTGCGGGTGAACATATCAGACGACACAGCGATTCTTCAAACAGCTCTTGTTTATTCGCAGGCCAGGACAGAACTGAACTGAAGGGCTCAGTCAGCTTGCTTATATAGAGCTCCAGTACCACGTTACTGTAACAATTTCTAAAACTATCCAATCACTGAATGTCACTTTCGATCCTTCATTTGCATAACTATCTACAGTATCCCCCTGCTGGCCCAGGGTGAGAACTTCAGTACATAACACTAATAATAATAATAATATATTATTTATACCCCACCCATCTGGCTGGATTACCTGGGTGCAACAAATCTACTTTTTAAAAAGAACCAGACTTTGTTGTGGTTTGCAAAGTGAAAAGGAAATGTTTTGAAAAGTGTGGGAAGAAGGAATGACTAATGGGAAGATGTTCTGCAAGGGAATCAGGATGAATGCAGAACTTGCGGTCATATAACCGCCTCATAAACAAATCAGAAATGACCTGAGTTTCCAAAGCAAGAAGTATTTGAGGTGAAGAGGTCCTCCACCTGCTAATCTGTTCCAGGTCAACCTGACTTACCTCGAGTTTTGCAAACTTGTCTGATTTGCAACAGGCGTTCTCTGCATTGATCAGCTTGGTGAGGAGAAACTCTCGAAATTCTGAGTTCTGGAGGAGAGAAAATAAAGGAGTGGAGGAACGGCTCAGAAAGAAAGCTGGAAAGTCCACACCCGTTTCATATTCTTTGGATGCGATCTCCAGTGATCATGGCTACAGTTTCCAAATCCTTATTTATTTGTGTTTCTTATTGCATTTATGGGACGTGGGTGGCGCTGTGGGTTAAACCACAGAGCCTAGGACTTGCCGATCAGAAGGTCGGCGGTTCGAATCCCCATGACGGGGTGAGCTCCCGTTGCTCGGTCCCTGCTCCTGCCCACCTAGCAGTTCGAAAGCACATCAAAGTACAAGTAGATAAATAGGTACTGCTCTGGTGGAAAGGTAAACGGTGTTTCCGTGCACTGCTCTGGTTCACCAGAAGCGGCTTAGTCATGCTGGCCACGTGACCCAGAAGCTGTCTGCGGACAAACACCGGCTCCCTCAGCCTATAGAGCGAGATGAGCACGCAACCCCAGAGTCGGTTACGACTGGACCTAATGGTCAGGGTTCCCTTTTATTGCATTTATACCCTGACGTTTCTCCAAAGTGCTCAAAGTGGTGTACATGTTTGCTCCCTCCTTCCATATTAGGCTCACAGCAAATCCTGTGAGGTAGAGGTTAGGCAGAGAGACATTGAGTGCGGCCCAAGATCACCCAGTCAGCTTCATGGCCAAGCAGGGAATATTTGAACAATGGTCTCGCAGGTCCAACACTCTAACCACTACACCACACTCCTGGAGCCCCAAAGCCAAGGATTCACCGCTGCAGTAATATTATTGGCCCTTGAGGCCAGCCTATGGAATTTTGCTGCCCAAGGCAAAGGACAAGACAGCACACACACACCCATCCCTCATGCAGCAGCACACTAGATTGGCAGTGAATCTTAGAAACATTGCATAGTGTCAGGGCTGGAGTCAGCACAAAAGACGCAGGGCTCCATTGTCATGAATCTGGCTCTTATCCGAGGAAGCAACGTACAACTCAACAAGCTTTCCCAGCAGGTCTTGCCCCTGTGAAGCAGTTTCCAGGACTGAGGGCCCCTGCCTTCCTCCCTCTCTAAGGCTCCTCTTCTCCCAGATGTTTCCTAAACAGTCTCAAACTGTGTCTGCCCACCTCTGACCTCTGTTCCACCCTCCACATTACTCTGTGGGTTCTTGGAGACTAGGAGAAAGAGCAGAGCTTGTCGCTGCAGGAGAAGGAGACTCCTCAAATTCTTCAGCAGCCTCTAGCCCTGCCCTCCTCTGCTTCAGCCTCGGAGTCTGAACTGCTCTCTGTCACCCGCTCTCCCTGCTCACAAAACCCCGTTGCCTCTTCAGCATCCCACCTCTCCTCCCAGTCTTCGCCTTCTGACATCAGTGTCAGAAGCTTAAAGGGGGCAGGGATGTTAAGTCTCTGCCATCTTACAATGGGGGGGGGGAATAGAGATAGATTTTGCCCAGTGTACCCCACCTCCGCCAAGTCACTGAAAATGTCCCCTACCACTTTCATGGGAAATAAGTAGCTGAGAGCAGTCATTCCATCAGACTGCCTCAGTGGGAGACGTAGAAAGCAGAGCTCCTCCCACCAGCTTTGCTGGAAGACCAGCTCCATCAGGCACCAGCTGCTCATTATGGGATGCACCAGGTTAAAAACTTGTACCTGAGTTTGATTTCCCCCTTTCTTCTCCGCCTGTCCCTTCCCCTTGTGTGTCATGGGTTGTTGTTGTTTTTTGGGGATTGCAAGCAGAGACTGTCTTGCTTTAATTGATTTTAAGTAAGCCACTCTGGGAGCCGTTTTGGCTGAAGAGCAGGAAACAAATTCTCTAAATCACCCTCATCAATTCTCCCTGCAGGGAAAACAAGCAGGAGGTCTATTTAGCCGGCAAACTAGTAAACGTTCCTTACTTTTTGAAATACAGAAGGGTTTGGCAGCGGAGGACCGAACGCAGGGACATCTTCTCGTGCAGTTACAGCCACCTATCCGGGATGAAGCAAAAACACATTTGAAAGCCTATATGGGGGTGGGGGGATAGGAAAGCACAGGGAATAAATGCACAAAGTCAGATATAGAAAAACAGAGCACCCAGAATGCACAAATAGAAGCACTGCCTTCAGCAGGGGCTGGTCCGTTGGAACAAATAGGGCACTGCCCCACCAGGTGGGGCCTTGAAGTGGCATAAGAGTGCTTTAAATATATATAGAATCATAGAGTTTGAAGGGGCCACGAGGGTCATCTAGTCCAACCCCCTGCCCAGTGTGGGGCTCGAACCCACAACCCTGAGATTAAGAGTCTCATGCTCTACCGACTGAGCTATCCCAGCTGTTTGTGGCTTAAAGGAGTGCTACGAAAATGTAACAATTAAAATAAGTAGAAATTTTAAAAAAACAGAAAAACAATCAACGTCAGAATAACAAATCAGCAGCACAGGGCGATGGAGGAGGAGGCACAATGTCCCGAAAGCTGAATAAAGAGGTAAATGAAGCTGAATGGCAGGGGGAAAAGAAAGAACGTAAGAAGAGGCTACTGGATCAGGCCAATGTCTCATCTAGTCCAGCTTCCTGACCTCACAGTTGTCAGCCAGATGCCCCTATGGGAATCCTGCAAACAGGACATGGTTGCGAGAGAACTCTCCCCTGCTGCTGTTTCCAGTGGTACTTCGGTTAAGAACTTAATTCGTTCTGGAGGTCCGTTCTTAACCTGAAACTGTTCTTAACCTGAGGTACCACTTTAGCTAATGGGGCCTCCCGCTGCTGCTGCACTGCCACCATGCGATTTCTGTTCTCATCCTGAAGCAAAGTTCTTAACCCAAGGTACTATTTCTGGGTTAGCGGAGTCTGTAACCTGAAGCGTCTGTAACCCGAGGTACCACTGTAATGCCTCTGAGAGTGGGGGCACAGCACAGCCATTGTGGCTGGTAGCCATCAATAGCCCTCTCCTGCCTGAATTTGTCCCATCCTCTTTTAAGGCCATCCCATTCGGCCACCATCCCTTCCTCCCATGGGAGTGAGCGCCATAGTTTAGTTAGGCACTTGGTGAAAGTGCCCTTGGTGTTCCACAGAGGGCCATCTTAATCCACCGGGCAAACACAGGGGGCCATAAATAACCCAAGGAAGACAGAATTGATCTCTTGCTGACTGCAAATATTAACACGGCCAAAGCTTGGAGCGCAAGGAAGCGAGCGTCCTGCCGGCCACCTGCTCGGCCACCTTTGCTCGGATTGAATCCGCCCGCGCTTCAAGGACAGACACGAGAGACGCACGCAGACTCGGTGCGCTTAATGAATTTTGCTGCAAACTCGCAGATAGGCTAATAGCTTCGCCCTCTGGAGCGGCGGCAATGTGGTGAGCGCCAGCTGCCTCTCAGAGAACAAATAACCGTTTTCGAAGAGGCTTAGCAGGAACTCTTTATCTCTGGCCAAGCAGGTACACTTTACACAAGCTCCCAAAGCAGTTATTTGTCAGATCTAAAAACAGATGCAGAGAGAGAGAGAGAGAGAGAGAGAAGAGAAAACCACCCAGCCCTCTTACTTTGTAAGATGCACTGTCTGCTTCAGGGTTTTCTGCCTGCACAACAATGTAGGCATGGAGGAAATTCGAGGCAATCATGTCTGGAACAAAGGGAGTGTTTTCTTCTTGAAATATAATTGCCACAATGTCGTTGCCAATGTGTCGCTTTCTCTGAAGCTGAAAAGATTTACAAAAAAAGAAGGGTGTACATGAGGGTCCTTAGGAGTGGATGGAAAGATTTTCAAATGGTGTATCTAGGTCCAGCCCCCCTTTGCAACTCTGTGGAACACTTGTTTTCCTTTCTTGGGTTTCTCCTGTAGAAAACGAGCTTGCTTCGGTCTTCCTCGAGACTTGTGCGAAGTTGGCCAATCAGGCCATTGGTACCCTGGTGGAAAGCAATTCTCACCTTTTCTCGAACCCCTGGGGCACTTAATGAAGGCCAAGTCTCTCTCACAGACACAGAGAGAGACACAAGTTCTGCCATGGGGCTTTTAGCACCACTTGATGTTATACCCAAAGAAACAAGGCTCTGTTACCTGCTGCGTGTCTCCCTCAGTGAAAGGGAGTTTGGTAGAGACGTGAAACATAATCTCTCTGTCCCTGAACACCGTGTACACAGACTCCGTGCCCGTCTGGCCGTGAGTGACATCGAGACCACCGCGAAAGCTGGAAAGAAGTAAGAATAAAACAGACCTTTGACACCAAGTACAATAATACTGAAGGGAAGTGGGTGGCGCTGTGGGTTAAACCACAGAGCCTAGGACTTGCCGATCAGAAGGTCAGCAGTTCGAATCCCCGCGACGGGGTGAGCTCCCGTTGCTCGGTCCCTGCTCCTGCCAACCTAGCAGTTCGAAAGCACAAAGTGCAAGTAGATGAATAGGTATCACTCCAGCAGGAAGGTAAATGGTGTTTCCGTGCACTGCTCTGGTTCGCCAGAAGCAGCTTAGTCATGCTGGCCACATGTCCTGGAAGCTGTACGCCAGCTCCCTCGGCCAATAAAGTGAGATGAGTGCCGCAACCCCAGAGTTGGTCATGACTGGACCTAATGGTCAGGGGTCCCTTTACCTTTACCTTTTACAATAATACTGATTTCATCAATGAGGGGTGGCAGGGGCAGGGTGTGTGTGTGTTAGTGCAATCTTGCATGCCCAGGTCATTGACAGCTAAAAATGAAGAAATATCTGAGATCCATGACTGCATCTCCTGCTGTTTGGGGGAAGTTGAGAATTGATCCAAATTTGATCCAAGAAAAAGCAGAGTGGGGGCTGGCAACTCTGTCCCTCCCCAATGCCATATCCACAGTCCAATCCCTCCTCCCCTCAAAAAACACAACTACTACCAATAGCCTTTAAATGGAAAAGCATAGAGTTAGAGGTCAGGATTCAGGGATTTCCCTGTTTCTTATCTGTTTCCCCATTTTTTTTAACCCATGTGAGTTTACTCAGAAATAAACCCCACTGTGTGTTCAGTTGGGCTGATTCCCAAGTAGGTGTGTTTAGGGCGGCAGACAGAAATTGAAGGATGTTAAGGTGGGGTTAAGCCAAATCACCAATTAATTTAAGTGAAGCTTTCCCCTCTAAATTGTCACATTGCCATTGGGTTGACGGTACAGTTACTGCCATCTTGAATCTGTCAGTGAATGAACAGACATGTGTGCGTGTGTAGATGAATCTAGAGCTGAAACATTTTTAAATTAAAATTCAACAATATGTTTCACATAAAATTTGACTGGGCTGGAACAAGGTGCTCCATTGTGTGAGTGTTCATATATGTTGAAAAATAAATTAAAAATCCCCCATATGGCTGCAAAATCTTGTGGAGCAGCAGAGCCCTTGGTTCATGAGTTAGCTTCTCCAAGGAAACAATATGCAGAATCTTTTTATACCACATGTATTGTGTAAAATCCAAGGCATCCTTGCAGCCCTGAGCTACAGTTACACGGGCTGTGGCTGGGAGGAATCTAACCAAAGGTCTGAACAACAGAATAGCAGGCATAACTTGGGGTCTTTAACTACTTGGTTACCAGTTATTTATGCAATTCCCCTCAGCGCTCAATCCCAGGAAACAGAAATACTCATATACATGCAAGCAACTGCTTCTTTCTCCTACCCCTTGAAGTCCTGGAGTGTTATGGTATCTCCGAGCAAGCTCAAGAAATTCTTGAAGGCAGGGCTCTCTTCATTGTTGCCGAATAGCTCTTCTTCCTGCGTCTGTAGAGTCAAATGGACCAAGAAACAAACATGAATCATAGAATCATAGAATCATAGAGTTGGAAGAGACCACAAGGGCCATCGAGTCCAACCCCCTGCCAAGCAGGAAACACCATCAGAGCACTCCTGACATATGGTTGTCAAGCCTCTGCTTAAAGACCTCCAAAGAAGGAGACTCCACCACACTCCTTGGCAGCAAATTCCACTGTCGAACAGCTCTTACTGTCAGGAAGTTCTTCCTAATGTTTAGGAAAACATGGTGGGAAGGTTCTTTTGTTTTTCAAGCAGGGACTGTAAGGCTAGGCCAAATTCCTCCCTCCTACACAGTTTCCAAAAATATGTTCCCTCTATAATAATAAGGGTGGATTCCCACTGCTTTCTAAAGGGTGGTGGTGAGAAATTTCTCCGACGTTTTCTTTTCTTTTTTGAGTTTTATTTATTTATTAACGTTCTTATGTTAAATCGGTAGACATTATCATATTACATCACAGGGCTTATTATAATATAATTTTTGGCATGTATACAAAGTTTATATACCTAAAGGGAAAAAAAACTATTCCAAAATCATATATGTACCAACACTTTGGACTTCCTGTCTATCCTGTTGTATATTCCTTTTTTACAAATGAATGTACTCTTATCATTGTATATTTCTTTACATTTTATCTAATACATTCCTATATCAATATGTACCCTTGGTCTTATTTCTCAACTCAGTCTCTCTCCAACGTCAATCAAAAGCTAGCATAGATAGCGAACCTTTACTGTATTTTTGAACATCTCCGACGTTTTCAGGAGGGACTGTCAACACTGTTTCTTCCCAGACATTGGACATTATTGGATGCAACAAAGGTTCATAGAATTGTAGAGCTGGGAGCAGAGGCGCCAGCTTGCAAGTGTGATTGGGAGGGGTGACATCATGCATGGGACGTTGTGTGTGATGTCACATGTGTGCGACGTCAGGATGTAGGGAAGAGCCAGGGTGGAGTCAAATGTGACAGCAGCAAGGCTTTAATAGCCGGTGGCTCTTCCTTCTCCTCCTCCTGTTCGACTGTGTGAGGCTCTTTGACCCTCCTTCCCCTCTACGCCAGGAGGAGGAGGAAAAGGAGCTGGCCATTGAAGCCGCACCGCGATTGGCTGCGTGCTCAGTCTTCTCTGCCCATTATTTTTACGGACGTTTTAAATGTTTGATGCATTACTGTATTTTAATATTTTGTTGGAAGCCGCCCAGAGTGGGGAAGCCCAGCCAGATGGGCAAGGTATAAATAAATTATTATTATTATTATTATTATTATTATTATTATTATTATTATTTAGGACATGGGGTGGGCAGGTCCTTCCCAAAAAATATTGGGCCCCCCAAAAGAGTTTGGCCCACTGGTTGGAAGGAACTCCATCAGAAAGTTCTTCCTAATGTTTAGTTAGAATTTCCTTTCTAACCCCTAACCCTAACCCTCTGGAGCAGCAGAAAACAAGCTTACGCCATCTTCAGATATTAGAAGATGGCTATCCTATCCTCTCTCAGTCTTCTCTTCTCCAGGCTAAACATAGCCAGTTCCCTCAGTCAGTCCCCATAAGGCTTGGTTTCCTGGGCCCTTGATCATCTTGGTTGCCTAGAAATCTAAATGCCTAGATCATCTCAGTACCTAGAAATGCAGCACGTTCCTGGAACCCAGAGCAGGTGTGGTACAGCAGATAAAGGAAAGTGCTATCTAATAGGAAGCTTCTTGGTTTAAATCTTATCACTGCTATAGACACGCCCGTTGGCAAGCATGCCTCTCTTTCTCAGCCTCTAGTCTGCAGGAGGGGGATATTCATAGCGAAGTACCTTCCAGGGTTCTTATTTGTTCATTTGTATTCTGCCCTTCTCCCAGTGCAGGACCTGAAGGCAGCTCACAGCACAAACTAAAACAGATGCAACTATTACACAGCTTAGCTGTGTAGAACTCAGTTGGTTAGAGTGTGGCACTGACAACACCAAGGTTGCAGGTTTGATCCCCATATGGGACAGCTGCATATTCCTGCATTGCAAGGGGTTGCACTAGATCAGTATTTCCCAGACTTGCATCTCCAGCTGTTTTTGGACTACAGTTCCCATGATCCCTGACTAGCTAGGGATGATGGGAATTGTAGTCCAAAAACAGCTGGAGACCCAAGTTTGGAAAATACTGGTCCCTTCCAACTCTAAAGTTCCATAATTCTATGAAAACACACACAATAAACATGTATTAAAAAATAATAATAGATATCCCTATTAGAAACAGCTCTGAAAACACTTAAAAACAACCCCCCTATAAGCATAGGAAACATTTAATTCCCTTCCCACCCCCCAACTACATGCCTTATTTTATTTTATTTTATTTTATAACATATCTTTATTAATTTTAAATTAATACATTTATGAAAAACAGACGTACATACAAGTAATTTCTGCCTTATTTTAAAGCCAGAAATTTATCAGCTGGGAACTTACAGCTCTGAACATTAAAAAATGGCATCTTATGAATGCAAATGTCACCATCATTCCTTGAACCAGAATTAAACGACTGCTGGCACAACAGCATTGTCACTCACCTGCCTAAGCTTCTGGTAAATTACCCCAAATTTGAACGTGTTGTTGACCTCGTGCTCATCATAGGAGACAATCATCTGAGATGCCTGAAATAGGAGACAGGTCGTTATTTAATTATGTATATATGAAAACCAATAAATATATGACATTCAGTTCCCAAACAGAACCATCAGAAGTACTTGAGGGAGCGTCGATTTCATAGCGGCTACAAGATAGGTAGATATAAATGGCACAGCTTGGTGCATGCTTTGCCTGCAGAATGTCCCGGGTTTGATTTCCAATAAAGTAAAGGTACGTAAAGGGACCCCTGACCATTAGGTCCAGTCGTGGCTGACTCTGGGGTTGCAGCGCTCATCTCACTTTATTGGCCGAGGGAGCCGGCGTACAGCTTCCGGGTCATGTGGCCAGCATAACTAAGCCGCTTCTGGCAAACCAGAGCAGCGCACAGTAGTGCCGTTTACCTTCCCGCCAGAGCAGTACCTATTTATCTACTTGCACTTTGACGTGCTTTCGAACTGCTAGGTTGGCAGGAGCTGGGGCTGGGCAACGGGAGCTCACCCCGTCACGGGGATTTGAACCGCTGACCTTCTGATTGGCAAGTCCTAGGCTCTGTGGTTTAACCCACAGCGCCACCCGCGTCCCTTGATTTCCAATATCTGCTATGAAAACAGGGCTTTGAAGCCTGCAGTGCTACAGAAGTTAAGAAAGTAAGATCTAACCAATGGTCCATCTAGTAGTCCAACATCCTGCTTTGTCAGTACCCTTTGGGAAACCAGCAAGCAGGACCTGAGTGCGAGAGCACGCTTCTCTCCTATCGTTTCCAGCAACTAGTATTCAGAAGCATTGCTGCCTCCAGATGTGGAGGCAGAATATAGCCATCGTGGCTAATAGGCATCTACAGCCCGCCCCTCCATAAATTTGTTCAATTCTCTTTACATCATTGTCTCCTGTGGGAGTGAATTCCGCAGTTTAACTGGGCACTGAGTACTTTCTTTGGTCTGTCCTGAACCCTCCAACCTTCTCTTTCCCCCGTCTAACCAGCTCTGTCGACCATTCCTGATATGGTGTGGCTTTCAGGCACACTCCCATCCTGGCTGCCCTTCTGGGTCCAGGGCGGCTGTCTACCAGCTCCATCTGGTACACAGGCTGAGACCCTACCTGCCCTTGGACTGTCTCACCAGAGTGGTGCATGCTCTGGTTATCTCCCGCTTGGACTACTGCAATGCGCTCTACATGGGGCTACCTTTGAAGGTGACCCGGAAACTGCAACTAATCCAGAACGCGGCAGCTAGACTGGTGACTGGGAGTGGCCGCCGAGACCATATAACACCAGTCCTGAGAGATCTGCATTGGCTCCCAGTACGTTTTCGAACACAATTCAAAGTGTTGGTGCTGACCTTTAAAGCCCTAAACGGCCTTGGTCCAGTATACAGTGGTACCTCTGTATACAGGTTAAGTACTTAATTCGTTCCGGAGGTCCGTTCTTAACCTGAAACTGCTCTTAACCGGAAGGACCACTTTAGCTAATGGGGCCTCCTGCTGCTGCTGCACCGCCGGAGCACAATTTCTGTTCTCATCCTGAAGCAAAGTTTTTAACCGGAGGTACTATTTCTGGGTTAGCGGAGTCTGTAACCTGAAGCGTATGTAACCAGAGGTACCACTGTATCTGAAGGAGCGTCTCCACCTCCATCGTTCTACCTGGACACTGAGGTCCAGCACCGAGAGCCTTCTGGTGGTTCCCTCAACTGCGAGAAGTGAGGTTACAGGGAACCAGACAGAGGGCCTTCTTGGTAGTGGCACCCTCCCTGTGGAACACCCTCCCATCAGATGTCAAGGAAATAAGCAGCCATATTCTATTTTTAAAAGACATCTGAAGGCAGCCCTATTTAGGGAAGTTTTTAATATTTAATGCTGTATTGTTTTTAACACTCAATTGGGAGCTGCCCAGAGTGGCTGGGGAAACAGCCAGATGGGCAGGGTATAAATAAATTATTATTATTATTATTATTAATATTATTATTATTATTATTATTATTCCTTGGGAGAGATCCGAAGCCATAGGAACAGCCAGAAACTATTTTTGATTTGTGTGAAGGGGCCAGCTGTACCTGCCCCATGCCAAAGGCTTGCTTTGACTCTCGTGTCCTTCTGAAAATATCCAACAGCCTCTTTGAAGCACCTGCACAGAGTCAAAATACGCCTTTGCATTTCAGCTTTGTTCCCTCCCCCATCCGAAGGACCCCTTGGGCTCCCTTCTGAGCAACAATCTCCAACCTGCTGAGAGTTTATTTGGTTCAAATTCTCCCCCTCTTGTTTTGAAATTGAGGTCAGAAAACAAGCTGGAAAATGAAATGCAACCCTACTTGTGTATAATTGCAAAGCTTATTCGAGGACCATGGGGATGCAAACTCATGACAATTCTGAAGTGCACATTGCAAATTGTTGAAACATAATAAAGAGGTGTTATATAAAAAAGAATCCGATGTTGTTTTTGAGCAGGCAAGAACATGGTATCAGAATTAAGAAAACTACTCTGTCTTCCACTCTGTTTTGATAACCCCACTAACAACTCCATCGCTAAATTAAAATTTGTTGATGTGCAGTGTTGTGTGGGCGGAAGAATAACGTCATGGGATAGAATCGTACGGTGGTATTCAACCAATGTGTCCCACCAGAAGAAGAATTTCGCTTGTGCAATAGGACCATGCCCTCCCCAGATCTGTTCCAGAGAGTTGGCAAAACCCCTAGACCAGGTTAATTGGGGGGGGGCAGAGGGCGGAAATATTCTGTTCCACAAGCTGAAATCCCAGCCCCCAACTAACATTCCAATTAAGGAGAAGTCCACCACTTTCCATGAGAGGTTTTTAAGCAAAGACTGGAAAGGACACCAGACTGGGTGAGACAAAAACTCTGTCTCTGAAGTGTGCAAGAAAGGAATGGCAGCAAGAGACAGGCTGCATAGCTGTATGTCCTCTGCCGCTGGTACTTTGAGGTAGAGTGCCTCTGAACATGGAGGTTTTACTCCTAACCATCAAGGTTAAGAGCAGGGGTGGGGAACCTCCCATCAGCTGACCAAACATGGCACACCAAAGGGGTTCAATTTGGCCCACAAGAACATCTTCCCCAAACCACCCACCCATTTCTGATGTCAGGGTGAAATTCTGGTTGTGCACATCTGTTCCCAGAAGGAAGGAAGGAAGGAAGGAAGGAAGGACACACAGCCAAAGCAGCAGGATTAAAGAGATGCGTGTGTGTGGAAGGAGCAAATTCTGGTCATTCTGGCTACACACACAGCAGAATTTAAACTCCACTCATCAGTTGTTGAGTAGGGGTTAAATCCTGCTCAGTTTGTCAGGATTCCATGCAAGCCTCTTCCTAGTTCAGGAAAGGATGTGTGTAGAGACCTCTGTAAAAATGAAAGTGGGGACTTCATTTTAGCAACACCTTCTAAGGTGCTTTGAAGTCCCAACTTTGGGACTTCAAAGCACCTTGCACTTGACACCATTGTAATGGCAGGCAATTGACAGGACGGCAGCCTCTCTCACCTGTCAGATTTGGTCTTCAAAGCCAATCTTGATAAGAATCTGTTCCCTGGAGCCAAAAAGATCTCCACCCCCACCCCATGGTTAAAAACAACAGAGCCCTGGAGGATCACTCTAGTCCAGTCTAGTTTCTCACAATTTGCTCTCTTGAAATGGCCAAAGTGCTCCCTTAGCATATAACTTCCCTGCCTATTAATGGGGAGCAAATGTGAACCCCACTGAGATGTGTTGTTGGACTCCAACTCCCATCAGCCCCAGCCAGCAAGGAGGCTGAGAGTTGTAGTCTAACAACATTTAGAAGACCGCAGGCTCCCTATCCCTAGCTACAGGGAGTCTCCTCTTCCAATCTGAAGGATCGTGGAAACCTATGATCAGGAAGACCGCACATTTCTGAACTCCCATTTTCACATGCACACAAGCACTGAGCACACCAGTTCTGAAACAGGCCCTCTCCAGTCCTTGCTTGGCACGTCCTTCATCTCACCTTGGGGTAGAGCACAGGGTTAAACTTCAGTCCGGTCACATCATCGCAGAAAGCCTGCCCAGATAGGGAAGAGAAGTGATTGTCAGCAAAGGCCACCAATGAGTAAATGTTTCTTTCAGATAGTTGAAGGTAACTTGAAAGAGGCATTGGGTTTTGCATTGTTTTGAAGGGGAGGAAGAGTGCATTGGCTAGGGGTCTCCAACATGGTGCCCTTTCTGGCGAGAAGTGAGGTTACAGGGAACCAGGCAGAAGGCCCTCTTGGTAGATATGCCCTCCCTGTGAAATGCCCTCCCATCAGGGATCAAAGCGAGAAACATTTCAAAGAGGCAAATAATTATACAACTTCCCAGTTGAATCCTGACAAGACAGAAGTACCGTATTTTTCTCTCTATTACACACAGATTTTTTCTCCTAAAAAGGAAGGGGAAATGTCTGTGCGTGTTATGGAGCGAATGTGTGTGGGGGGGTGTCCCTGGAGCCGATTAGGGGAGCGCAGGAACAAAAATCAGCAAAAATCAACCGTGCGTTGTGTCGGAGAGGGAAACCTGAAAAGAGGAAGTGGTTGCTTTCCTGCATTCTGCCTCAGGGTCTTACTGCCCACCCTCCTCTGTTTCGTTGCTGTGTTTGCTCAAACGGAACAAAGAGCAGGGAAAGCCCCTCCCCTCCAGGCAAGCAGAGGGGAAAGCAGAGGTCTTTCCTTCTAATTCCTCTCCGTGCTCCTCGCAGGCAGCCAGAAAACATGCAGGAGGAGAGAGAAAGCTGGCTTCAGTTTGTGGAAACTTTTGCCTTTCTTTCCTCCCTCCCGTAAAATCTCTCTCCTGCTTTCTTAGCCAGCTGCTTCTCTGCACACCGCTCTCTTGTCCCTTCTGTGTTTTTCCTTCACTCCCCACTTAAAATGTAGTTACAAAGCATGGATCCACATGGATCCTCAGGATCTTTGCATTGGGCCACCCCAAATTCACCATCAGATCACATAGCAGCCTGCCCCCCAAAAATCACACACCCACTGTTGCCTGGGGCTGCAATGGTGCAAAAACGTGGTTAAAAAGCATGGATCCACATGGATCCTCAGGATCTTTGCATTGGGCCACCCCAAATTCACCATCAGATCACATAGCAGCCTGCCCCCCAAAAATCACACACCCACTGTTGCCTGGGGCTGCAATGGTGCAAAAACGTGGTTAAAAAGCATGGATCCACATGGATCCTCAGGATCTTTGCATTGAGCTACCCCAAATTCACCATCAGATCACATGTCTGTGGCCACAGCATGAAGCACAAAAATGATACATCCACTGTTTCATTCAGAATTTTTTTCCTTGTTTTCCTCCTCTAAAAACGATGTGCGTGTTATGGTCAGGTGCGTGTTATAGAGCGAAAAATACGGTACTGTTTTGGGGGGACAGGAGGCGGGCAGGTGTGGAGAACTCCCTGGTCCTGAATGGGGTAACTGAGCCCCCTGAAGGACCAGGTTTGCAGCCTGGGAGTCATTTTGGACTCACAGCTGTCCATGGAGGCGCAGGTTAATTCTGTGTCCAGGGCGGCTGTTTATCAGCTCCATCTGTATGCAGGCTGAGACCCTACCTGCCCGCAGATTGTCTCGCCAGAGTGGTGCATGCTCTAGTTATCTCACGCTTGGACTACTGCAATGCGCTCTATGTGGGGCTACCTTTGAAGGTGACCCGGAAACTGCAATTAATCCAGAATGCAGCACCTAGACTGGTGACTGGGAGCGGCCACCGAGACCACATAGCACCGGTCTTGAAAGACCTACATTGGCTCCCAGTACGTTTCCGGGCACAATTCAAAGTCTTGGTGTTGACCTTTAAAGCCCTAAACGGCCTTGGCCCAGTATAACTGAAGGAGCGTCTCCACCCCCATCCTTCAGCCTGGACACTGAGATCCAGCGCTGAGGGCCTTCTGGCGGTTCCATCATTGTGAGAAGTGAGGTTACAGGGAACAAGACAGAGGGCTTCCTCGGTAATGGCGCCCGCCCTGTAGAACGCCCTCCCATCAGATGTCAAGGAAATAAGCAGCTATCCTATTTTTAAAAGACATCTGAAGGCAATCCTGTTTGGGGAAGTTTTTAATATTTAATGCTGTATTGTTTTTAACACTTGATTGGGAGCCGCCCAGAGTGGCTGGGGAAACTCAACCAGATGGGTGGGGTATAAATTATAAAATATAAAATATTGTTATTATTATTGACGTCTGAAGATAGCACTATATTGGGAATTTGATGTTTTGTTTTGTTTTGTTCTGTTTTTTGTTTTGTTTTGTTTTCTGTAGGAAGCTACCCAGAGTGTCTGGGGCAAGCCAGTCAGATGGGCAGGGTGCCAATAATAATCACCACCACCCTCAATATCATTTCAAAGCAACCCACCTTTGCAATCTGTGGGATGCTTGGTAGTTTGCTAAGTCCAGCTAAGGGGATTCGTTCATGCAGCGTTTTTGCTTTGGACCTATGGAAAGCAAGGAGAGAGGGAGAAAGGGCATAAGTAGGAAATAAGCTGTGATGGTGTACAGATACCTCTGGGCTTAAAACAGTAAAACACACACAATATCTGCAAAATTCACAATGCAAAGCTATACCAGATGTCTGGAAATGAAACCTCACTGAACATTTGGGCAGGGGGAGGGGACTGTTGGCATTGAACGTTACAGTTGTTTAGTCTCCTGATCTTTTTAAAAATTCATGGGTTTGCCTAGGAAATAAGAGGATAAGTCAAATAGGAGCTTGTTTTCCTTGGTTTTGAGAAGGAACGGTGCTAAATATGATTGATACTTTCCAATATCCTTGCAGGGATTTTTATTTTATTTTATTTTACATCTGGTTTCCTAGGGGCTGGCTGCAGATCAAGCAAAATGACGTTTATTACCAAAGTAATCTTGAAAGAACAGACTCAAAATTCAAAGTGTGTGGCGGCAGCGGGGGAGGGAGATCTATAGCAGCATGGGTTCTTAGCCTGGCTTTCTGGGTTATCACCATTTCCTTCCTCTCACACAGCAAAGGTTCCCGACTCAAGAGGAGATTGACCACGCAATCTTGGTGCTGGGGGAAACCGAGGATCTTTAGGAGCCAATTCCTCGGGTCTGTGGGGGCTTCGGCCCCCACACTAAAATATTTGAGGGAGCTAAAATGATCCTCTTCTTCCTCAGTCCATCAGTCCACAAACAGCAACTAGAGGATATGCTCCTTTAGAACCCATATGAGTGAGCAGCCCTTTGCAATATTAGCAGTTGGCGATTAGGACTGGAGGAGCCTGCACCACCAATGAGAAAGGACCTTATCAGTTGCACTTCATCAAGAATACAAAAATCTGTAATTGTGCCCCCTTTCTGTTCCTTGACATGAGATTCCTGGGTTGCATTTAGGGTTGCCTCTTCTAGTATAGAAAAGGCAGTGGGGGTGGGGGCAAACATGGCCACAAAAATGAATAAAAATGTAAAAAGAGGCACATTGGATCAAGCTGGGACCCTACAGAGCCCAGCCTCCAGCCAGAATATTCACAGGCCAGGATGTAGGGGTGGGGATTTGATTCATTTTCAGTTTAAAGGAAAACCTTTCTGTTTTGAACTTTCTGAAACAAGGTGTGAACCAAAATGCGAATTTTGCAGCGGAGTTCTCCAAACAAAATAGGGTGCACAAAAACGCACACACAGATATTAATGTGCGCATAACAATGTACATATTAGTGAAGATAACATACTAAAAGGCATTATATTAGGGAAAATTGCTTTGTGTATAGTTGAAGAAATTCTCACTGATGAATTTTCATGAGGATTTTTTTTATATACATAAAATGCAAGCGGATGTGAAAATGTGGAGGACTGAATTTAAGACTGGAAGCATAAAAAATAAAACACCCGAGAGAGTGAAATGGGTAGATTTGCCCATTCTTAGCTTACAAGTTTCCATTCTGAGGTTGCAGAACCAGAATTGTACAAATACTTGGGCAATAGGCAGTTCACCCAGTTTACCTTTACCTTTAACATTAGTAGTAGTATGCAGGATGATATAGAACAATGGGATCATTCAGACTTCCATTTGCTCCACTGCTTTCTTTGGAAAAAACGCACTCTTAGATTGGAGCAAACATCAGCTGGGTTTTCCATGGAATTCATGTTTTCTCCGATTCAGCACTAAAGGTAAAGGTAAAGGACCCCTGGGCGGTTAAGTCCAGTCAAAGGCGACTATGGGGTTGTGGTGCTTGTCTCACTTTCAGGCCGAGGGAGCCGGCGTTTGTCCACAGACAGCTTTCCGGGTCATGTGGCCAGTAGGACTAAACCACTTCTGGCGCAATGGAACACTGTGATGGAAGCCAAAGCACACAGAGACATTGTTTACCCTCCCACCACAGCGGTACCTATTTATCTAATTGCACTGGTGTGCTTTCAAACTGCTAGGTTGGCAGGAGCTGGGACTGGGGAACGGGAGCTCACCCCATCGTGGGGATTCGAACCGCCAACCTTCTGATCAGCAAGCCCAAGAGGCTCAGTGGTCTAGACCACAATGCCACTAAAGACATGGGACAAGTAGAAGTGTGTAAGAGCCCGATGTTGAATTAACGAAAGGAACAGGGATGTATGTTTGCCATTAGCATATGAGATGTAGCAGAAATGACTCAAGGAGTTCATGAAAAAAAATTTGGAAATTGGTTTGCTTGAGACACTGACCCCTTTTCCGCTTACTGTACCTGAGTATAATTCTTAGGTATTCAATTCCGTCTGCCTCTTCGCATTTAATAGAAAGGATCAAATTTCCCAGGCTGCTAGCTGTGCAGTAAAAATTTAAATGATCCTAAAAATAGAAGGGAAGTGTTAACAGTGTGAGGAAGAAGCCCAGGGGAAAGCAAGGGTTTTGATCTCGCCCCGACTGTTCCCTCAGTGTTGGGTCTTGACGCCTAGAAGGAATCACGGCTGACTCATTGCTATCTTAAGAACATCTCACAAACTTGCCATCCTCTGGGAAACCAAAAAGCAATTATTTACACTTCACTCATAGGTCTCAATATTTGATCCATCCACTTGCCACTATAAGCTACAGGAGCTATATCAACAACTCTGAGGGCAGTGTAATAGATGACCAGCACTCATGCAAAATTGTGATGGGGGAAAATCAACACTCAGAACATACCTCCATTTCCCCTCTCCCTGTATTGCACTCCCAAAGAGGTCACAATGGGTGGGAAACCTCAGGCCTGCCAAGCCCTCTCTAACTGGCCCTCTGGACATCTCTCACTGGTCCTGCTTCACACCCACAATGTGTTTGCCTGGCTGGAATGGGTCCTTGAGCTCCAAAATTGCCTTTTCCTCGCATGGATGGAGAACAGAGGTGTGTCTGTGAGCACGTGAAGTACCTAGCCTACCGTACGCTACCCTACTGTGCAATTGGACAATGAATGCAAAATCTGCATTCTTTGCTCCACCCACTTTTCCCACTGGCCACACCCACCTCTGGCAGAAGGTGAAGATTGCACTGAAGGGGATATAGTCCTTGGGCTGCAAAAGGTACTACCCCACCCCACCCCACACGAATACATGGACCCTCCTTCAAATGCCCTCGTCCTCCTCCATCATATGCATTTTGCTGGCTATTCATGGCCATCACAAGCCAAAGTGTGGTCATTGTTAATTAATTAACAGCTAACGATTCAACTTCAATCCATTATTATTACCAAACTCATTCATGATCAATACTCATCAGTAGACTTAGTAGTGATTTCTCTCTTTCTTTAAAAACCTCTGGCGGCCCAAGGGGTCTTAAGTCCACGCTCACAATTCCCCACTGACCTTTCCCAAGAAGTGTTTCCTATATGCTCTGGCTTCTCCTTTGCACTCCAGCTTGTAGCCATAAGCACTGGGGCTCAGCTGCTCCTCGTCATCTTCACAGATGCTGCTCTCCGATGAGGTGGGTGTGCTGACGTTCTCGGGGTCTTCGATCCAGTAGCCCCCAAACTGTGGCAGGATGATGACAGGATAGGGGCCGCCTTTTTCTACAATCTGGGGAAAAGATTAAGCAGGCTTCAGAGGCAGAGCTGACCACATCAAGCCACGATGATTGACAACTTTGGAGGATTAGAGAAGAGGATTAGACAAATTCATGGAGGATAATGCTCTCAACAGCTACTAGCCATGATGGCTATGTTCTGCCTCCACTGCAGAGGCATGTTGGCATTCATCTGTCTCGAGAGTCAATGGAGGGAAGGGCAAACCACTGGAGAATCACAGCACCTGCTGTTGCTGCAGATACCAGTAACTTGTAATGGCTGCCTCCCATGTTGTTTTTGCTGCATTAACAGCAACAACAGTGATCTCTCTGGGGAGCAAGCCTGGGCAGAGTGTATGGAGGTCCTGGGCTGCCCAGATGACAAGGACACCCGCCTCTTGCCGTCCAGCTCAGCCTCGCTGATGTGATCCAAAGGAAAGCAGAGCAATACGTTTGGCACCAGCTTGGTGGCCAGAGTTGCTGGAAGGAGGCATGCAAGGTGCCATCCAGCCAACTTAGAAAGTCCACTCTGGGTTTGTGTAGGGTTTGTTCCTTATCCTTTTCTTCTCCCTGCAAGATATCCTGCAAGGCAACAGAGGTTTAGGAGCAGTTTTCCTTCTCTTAGATTGGATACCCAGTATGTTTCCGAGCACAATTCAAAGTGTTGGTGCTGACCTTTAAAGCCCTAAATGGCCTCGGCCCAGTATACCTGAAGGAGCGTCTCCACCTCCATCGTTCAGCCCGGACACTGAGGTCCAGCTCCGAGGGCCTTCTGGTGGTTCCCTCGCTGTGAGAAATGAGGTTACAGGGAACCAGGCAGAGGGCCTTCTCGGTAGTGGCTCCCGCCCTGTGGAACGCCCTCCTATCAGATGTCAAGGAAATAAACATCTGACTTTTAGGAAACATCTTAAGGCAGCCCTGTTTAGGGAAGCTGTTAATGTTTGATGTTTTATTGTGTTTTTAATTTTATCATGTTTTTAATATTCTATTGGGAGCCGCCCAGGGTGGCTGGGGAAACCCAGCCAGATGGGCAGGGTATAAATAATAAATTATTATAATATTATTATTTTTATACCATCCCAGGTTGACAAGCCCCACCTGCCCCTGATGTCCCTCTGCAGCACATGCAGAAACCACCTTTGTGGTCACTGGACCTAATGCTGGTCTCATCCACTCAATCTGCCTGTCTTTGCATGCAGGGGAAATCCCTAACTCAGTGAGTTGCAGGGGTGTGTGGATTGCTGACTCTTTGTAGAGCAATTGCACTAGCATTGGCCCACACTGAATTTCCCTGATGAAGCATGGTCAGCCAAGGCAATGCTTGTGAACACCCACCCCATAGAACCACAGAACTAGCCCAAACCCCTGCAATTCAGGAATCACTGCTGATTGGCCTTTTATAGTGAGTACGTGTGCAAGACGCACGTTCTCACAGAAACATGCATGGACTAGCAGGTCTGGCGATACTCACTTCATCAATGCTGGGATACGGGATGTAGTCCTCCTGAAAAACATCCAAAGGAAAGGCGGCCATTAATTCTAACACAATTTGCAATGGGAGAAATATTTGGGCATGGGATATAGACAATGGTTCATGTGTGGCACAAAGAAATTGGACAGAGACTAGTTTTTCCTCTCCCTTTTTGAGAACACTAGACTTCACGATCATCCGAAGCTGAACGTTGGAGTACAGAGAAAAGAAAGTCCTTATTTCTTGGGCTCCATGATCACTGCAGATGGTGACAGCAGTCACGAAATTAAAAGACGCCTGCTTCTTGGGAGAAAAGCAATGACAAACCTAGACAGCATCTTAAAAAGCAGAGACATCACCTTGCCAACAAAGGTCCGTATAGTTAAAGCTATGGTTTTCCCAGTAGTGATGTATGGAAGTGAGAGCTGGACCATAAAGAAGGCTGATCGCCGAAGAATTGATGCTTTTGAATTATGATGCTGGAGGAGACTCTTGAGAGTCCCATGGACTGCAAGAAGATCAAACCTATCCATTCTGAAGGAAATCAGCCCTGAGTGCTCACTGGAAGGACAGGTCCTGAAGCTGAGGCTCCAGTACTTGGGCCACCTCATGAGAAGAGAAGACTTCCTGGAAAAGACCCTGACACTGGGAAAGATTGAAGGCACAAGGAGAAGGGGACGACAGAGGACGAGATGGCTGGACAGTGTTCTTGAAGCTACCAACATGAGTTTGACCAAACTGCGGGAGGCAGTGGAAGACAGGAGTGCCTGGCGTGCTCTGGTACATGGGGTCATGAAGTGTCGGACATGACTAAACGACTAAACAAAAACAACAATTCAGGCAAAGCATAAAGTATGGAATTTGCTCCCACAAGAGGCAGTGATGGCCACCAACTTGGGTGGCTTTTATAAGAGGATTACTCAAATGCATAGGACAATAAGGTGGTGATGGTTGTGTCCTACCTCCATGGTCAAAGACTTCTGAATATCAGTTGCTGGGGATCACAAGCTGTAGAGAACTAACGCTCTCATGTTTTGCTTGCCAGCTTCCCATAATAGGCATCTGGTTGGCTGCTGTGAGAAATAGATGCTGGACTAGATGGGCCACTGGCAAAATCCAGCAGGCTCTTCTTACATTCTTAAAGGTGTTTGTGGGGTGTGTGTATTTTGAAGGACTGGTCATAAATTCATCCAGGGTCCTTTTCTTCGAAAATCTTCCTGGCGGCTGAATGCGAGCAAGAACTATTGAATCCATGTTGTTTATCAGCGTGAGCTCTCCAGCATCATATTTCTTAGAGGCTCAGCACAGGAAGAGGGCGGGTGAAAAACAGGATTAAGGGCTCTCCCTCCCCATAGGGTTGATCCCTGCATTTTTAATCAGAGCCTCGGTTTTCAATAATACTCAAATCCTTCTGCCGGCGCCATCACTTTTGTTCTGACTTTGAGCATCTGGATTACTGAGGAAAAAACTAATGGATGGCTGAGTTCCTTACAAAAGATCACCGGTGCTCCTTGACAGCAATAAGTCTCTCTCTCACACACAGGTGACACATTTGGCTACTGATATGAACATAGACAGACGGGCAGAGACATATTTTGCTGTAAGCTTGCAGTTGGACTCTGTCAAATGCAGAAGGAACAAGATATTCAGGCATTGCTCAGACTGAGAAACCAAGCCTGGAACAGCAGTTAGCCTGTCATTTGTTTACGTATATACTCCTGTGGTTTAAACCACAGAGCCTAGGATTTGCTGATCAGAAGGTCAGTGGTTCTAATCCCCACAACGGGGTGAGCTCCCGTTGCTCGGTCCCAGCTCCTGCCCACCTAGCAGTTCGAAAGCACGTCAAAGTGCAAGTAGATAAATAGGTACTGCTCCGGCGGGAAGGTAAACGGCGTTTCCGTGCGCTGCTCTGGTTCGCCAGAAGCGGCTTAGTCATGCTGGACACATGACCCGGAAGCTGTCTGTGGACAAACGCCAGCTCCCTCGGCCAGTAAAGCGAGATGAGCGCCCCAACCCCAGAGTCGGCCACGACTGGACCTAATGGTCAGGGGTCCCTTTACCTTTACCTTTATATTCCTTACATGCCAGAATGGTTACAAGCCTGACACCACTTATAAAATCCATTCATTAATAAAATGCACCATAAAACAATTGAATCAAATCATTAAGACCACACATATTTAAATGTTCAATAAAACAATCCCATTTTTTTAAAATAAACAAAATAAAACCAACTAACAAGGCAGTTAAAAGAGCAATTAAAAGTTGGATCAAGATGCTCACCCTAAACAGGGGCATCTTCAAGAGTTGGCGGGATGCCAATACTGATTGGGGATGCTCGTATTTAAGCCGGAAGGACTTTCTGCACTACTGGTACCACAAGGGAACAAAGCTGTGTCATCTCAAATCAATGCACATCAAGCCATGGCAAAACTAGCTTCGTTCTGCTTGCTGATCTTAATGTGCTTAGTGGACAGTGGAGGGGAAGTTAGCTTTTCAGATGATTTGGCCCAGAGTGGTTTAGGGTTTTATATGTAAGTAGCAGGACCTTAAAACTGGCTCAGTGCATAACAGGCAGCCAGTGAAGATCCCTTATATGCCCAGTAAGGAGGACCATTCACACCCTGTGCATGGTACGTGTGCCATAGAGCCAGCCAGCCCCTAACTGGTTCCTTGGGTCACCTGGTCTGGTTGGGGCAATGAGCCCAATACTCTCTCTCAACAGCTACATGGTTGGTGCTGCAGCACATCGAACAGATCAGGCCAATTAAGCCATCCAGCCTGAAAGCTGGGAGTAAAGGCAAGCAAGTCCCTGCTGCCACAGCCCCCAGTTTCAGCCCCCTGGCACCATCCACATGAACACTTGTTCTGACCCAACAAGTCTTTTAAGCTCTTAGGGAGCTGAGAGTTTCTAGCTGGGATTAAATGGACTAGTCAGACCCCTTGAATGCTGTGGGAGTTTCTGCTTTTGGAAAGCGAGTGTGCAGTTGGGATTTTCTGTTTCCTATTTGTAAATAAACTATATAGACGCAAAAAAGCAAAATAAGAGTTATTGCTTATATTAAAGTTTATGTAACTGAATGTTATCAAATTTACGTTTGAATCAATATGGATTTCTTTTAAAATGCAGTGTGATTGCTATTATAAATTATACAACGTTATAAAATGAATTTGGTCTCCAGTGTTTACTCGGTCCAAGGAAACTGTTTGTGTCTACTGCTCAGAAGTAAGTCTCAGTGAATAAACATGAGGCTTCTTCCTAGGTGTGAATAGCAGGGGTGAGGAACCTCTGGTCCATGGGTCTAATTAGACCCAGCACAGATACAATTTTGGCCCCTGGTGCTTTTTCCCCAGAAGCACGCCCACCTGCCACACTTTGGATGCCATATTTGGGCAGCTAGGGACATGGCTGCCAGCAAGCCTTAAAGTGGGCTCCTGATTGTTCCTTGACAAGGGAGGCTTGCTGCCACTGCTGATCAGCTGATTGACTGGGGAGATGGTTGGAATCGACTGTGCTATGAAATCCCCAATCAGAAACACCATAGCACCATTGATCCTCACCAAAACGCAGCACCAGTCAGCTCACCAAGGAAGTCAGCACGCCAAAGCACCGTGTGTTCAAATCCAGCTTGGATCCACCTTTACAGCACAGATTGACCCCAAGTCACGCTACAAAGGAAAAATGAGACACCTGATGTCATGGTGATCAATATGCAGGCAGAACCACCTACCCATTGAAGTGGCCCATAGTGGGGCTAGGACATGGGTAGGCAAACTAAGGCCTGGGGGCTGGATCCAGCCCAATCGCCTTCTAAATCCGGCCCGTGAACTGTCCGGGAATCAGTGTGTTTTTACATGAGTAGAATGTGTCCTTTTATTTAAAATGCATCTCTGGGTTATTTGTGGGGAACAGGAATTCACACAAGGTCCGAGGGACAGTGGACCGGCCCCCTGCTGAAAAAGTTTGCTGACCCCTGGGCTAGGATCTGCCTGTTGCATTTCAGCCTGTGGAGAAACTGAGGAGAACTCAAAAGCGCATTACATTATGAACCACCTTGTCCAAGCAAAGATATAATCTGTTCCTAGACATTGAAAAGGAGACCCATGTTTGGACCTTGTCCTGAAACTGACCTTATTTTTCTGGCTTCCACTTCTCTGTTCCTCTAATTTTGGCCCCTGTTTGTAGAAAAACATGACATGCAGTTTGTTTAGTTACTTTGGGATACATGCCAGAGGCCTTGGGTGCATGTTCCTGGTTAAAATTTGCAACACAGAACTTCTTACTAGTCTAGTTTATTTGATCAAATGGGACATTGGCCCACCAAGCTCAGTCTCCCCTCAGCCAGCCCCACTTCCCTGTCTTCTTACTTACAATCAGCCCAGAAGGTGGTGGCCCTGCCTGTCAACTTCCTCCACCTTAGTCTCAGCCTTGCCCTGGGATAACTCAGAAGAGAGGAGGAAGATGGAGACAACTCTAGAATGAGTTGGCTCTGCCTGCCGTTGGCTCTCGTCCCACCTGCTGGTGGGCTCCCTGCCTTCTGCCCCACGAGTCACCAGTGGGCACCAGCCAACACTGTCATAGGGCCCACAGACATTTCTCAGCCCCATTCCCCATTTTCGATATTGGGATGTGGGGCAGTGGCAGAGCTGTAACAAACAGCAGCTGCATCCTCATTGCAAATGGCCCCGGGGGGGAAATGGGATGCTGTGATGCAGCTTTCGTTCAAAATTATGGCTGTTTCCACTGGTCACTGAGGACAGCCATATATCTACTTCAAGTTGGCAAGGATGACCATCATTTCACCAGTCTTCCTCCCCAGGAGCACTTTTGGAGACCATGTCTTAGAAAAGTGGAGTCTATGTATATGCACTTTCTCCCTCCCTCCTTCCCTCTCTCCCTCTCTCTCTGCTGGAGGGGGTGTGCAGATCTGGGGGGAAGAGAGAGAAAAGGCTCTAGGGCAGCCTTTCTCAATCTGTGGGTCCCCAGATGTTGTTGGACTACAACTCCCATCACCCCTAGCTAGCAAGGCCAGAGCTCGGGGATCATGGGAGTTGTAGTCCAACAACATCTGGGGACCTACAGGTTGAGAACCGCTGCTCTAGGGGGTAGAGTGCCCACAGCCATCATTCAAAAATCAAAATATGCCCATAGGCCTATAAAGGTTGAGAGCCCCTGGGGTAGCATAACTCCCAGCAGATTTGGTGATCTGCTGGGTCGCTGCTTCCATTTCTTGTAGCCCGATTTATTGGCAAGGCATTTATTTGCAAGCTGAAGAAAGACAGGATGCAATCCTCTGCCACTTCATCTCTATCAGATCAGCCACTGCACACGTGTTTTCAGAAACATGAGACATCGTTCCCAGTCACCAAAGATCACAAACATCTTTGAAGGCCTTTTGCACCCACACCCTGCTCCAAAGTAACCTGCCACAATTATGTTGAAAACACACATGCACAGTTGCAAAGAAGAACAAGTTCTGGGCAGAACTGACATGCCACATACCTGCATTTTTTCCAGCATTTCAAAGAACTCTGCAGACTGGGGGAGACAAAGAAAAGAAAGAAAGAAGTGAAGCTAAAAGTCAACACCTTATGACAACTGCAATCAGATCATTTATTGCACTCACTGCTTCCAATTCGGAGAGTTTTGACTAATGAAGCCCTAAATGGCTTGGGACCTTGATGCAAGAAGGAAGATCTCCTCCCCCTGGAATTACCTGAAACTTAAGGTCATCCACAGAGGCAGATCTCTGAGTTTCCTCAGTCTGAAGTTCAGAGTGCCGTGAGGGACAGGGCTTATTCTGTGGTGGCCCCCTAGCTATTGAATACTCTGTCAGGGAAGCTCGCCTGACACCAGCCTAAGACTTAAGCCTTCTTGCTTAAATCCCTCTGGCCAGTGGCTTTAGTTACTGTATTTGGTGGTAGTGTTTAGCGCCTGAGTTTTCTCTTGCATTTTAGTGTGCATTTACTTTTTTGTATTTGGGCTTTACACCAGGTTCTAAGATTCATGCTGGATTTTTACAGACATTATTCTTAGGCTTTTAACTGCAACGCACGATGCCCAGAGAACGTGTTCGTGGGGGGCCTAACAAGTAAATAGACATGCACAGAAAAGTCTAGGTTTTTATATTGATTCTCCATTGTTCATTGATTCCAAACCGAAATCCGCTGGAGGGGGCAACGCCTCTGAACACCATCTGCTGGGAACTGCAGGCGGAGAGAATGCAGCTGAACTTGTGTCCCTCTTGCAGGGTTCCCATTGGTGCATCTGGTTAGCCACTGTGAGAACAGAGCACTGGATTCCTGCATTGCAGGGGGTTGGACTAGATGACCCTTGGAGTACCGTCAAACCCTGTGATTCTATGACTAGGTGGCTGATGGCCTCATCCAGGAGAGCTCTTCTCATGTTCTTATGATGCTCTAGTGTAAAATGTCAGCCACTACTATAAACCCAGAAATCCCCACTTCATTCTGCTGGTTCACCTCAGCTTATATCTTGATGACTCTGTGAGAACTTGCCCCTGTTTGAAAACCCCTTTTTTGTTTCCGTCAACGCATGATGAGCTCAAAACACTGGATGGCGAGGAAACCCTTATTGATATAACATATTGACACCCGCTTTTCTTCATTAGAGGTCCAGACAGTTTTCAAAACGGTAAAATGCATTTTTTTTATAAAAAAAAGGTGTATATAGAAGGAAGTAGCCAGCAATAAAAGACAGCAATAAAACAATTTAAAAGGAACTGAAGTTTAAAAAAACACAACCCAATGAAATATAATAAAAGTCGCCGTGAAAAAACAGAGTCAGAAGGGTTATATAAAATTATAGCTGAGCCAAATGTTCTTAGAATACCTTTTTTTCTCAGAAAATGTCAGCTCCTTTGTTTCTTTGTAGGATTATATTGCTTTGAAGCATTATACCAAAATATTCCCCGGCATTTTGGGAAGCAGTTACCATCTCTCCCCCAACGCACTCAGCTGTGGAATAACCCTACGTCTGGGGCATTCGTTTAATTGCAATGTAATGTCCAGGGTTGCAGTAGGGCTGGGGCAATGGAGGCAGGGCCTAGGCCTCAGAGGAGGAGCTGGGAGGGAATCTCCATTGCAATCGACATCATCCCCAGTCTATGGTAAGAGCCTGTGCCTCGCCCTCCTGGAGAAACTGAGGAAGCACCTGGTCAGCCTCCTGTACAAAAAACAAGAGACTGTGAAGAGGCAGGTCTTAGAATTTAGGTAGGCTCAGTTGTAGACAACTGCCATGCAGCCCCTCCATTCCTGGAAAGGCCTAGATCCATAGCTAACTCCATCCACCTGCTGCCAAGTGAGGTGTCAGCCTGCCTGACTCCAGCTGCCATTGGCTCCTCCCCGCCCAGAACTCCCCTCCCCCTGTGATGAAACAATGCTCCTCTTCTTTCCGTTCCTCCCATTGCTCTGCTCTTCTGTGTAGGACAGAAGTGGGGAGGTGGATCCACCTGGTGGGCCAGGTCATTACCTTCCACCCATGTCCCCGCACAAGCCAGGTTTGATAGGTGGGCAGGGCTACCCAGCTGCCAGTTACCTGACATCACCATGACAGCAGCTGACATGGCGCTTTGAATTGCCTGGGCTTTGCAAGCGCTGACAACCAGCTGTTTGTTGGGGCTTGCAACGGAGCCAGGCAGGTAGCTTTCGCAGTGGATCTTTGCAGGTAGCGCTGATCAGTTGACTGGTGGTAACTGCAAAGCCACCTTTGACCATGTTAGGTTGTTTTATTTGCACCACAGCTGAAATCACATAGGGCAAGTAGGTGTGCCTTGGCAAAACATGCTCTCACAAGTCAAATGGAGAGGACTTGTGGGCTGAATAAAGCCCACAGGCCAGAAGTCATGGACCGGTTCAATGCAGATGGATGGTGGTAAGAACCAGCAGAGGAACCACCAAGGGAAGAAAGCTCAGAGCCCGGGGAGTGGTGGTGGGACGACGATGAATGGTAAGAGGGAGAAGACTGGGAAGATGAGGTGTTGGAAGCTGAAGGGGTAATGGGACTTAGTGAGCAGCTAACCCTAACCCTAGCTCCCCTCCTCCCTGGTCTCCCAGAACCAGAAGAGGCAGTAAGCGGGAAGAACAAAGACAGGCATTCAGGTGCCTGATTGCTTGCGGGGGGGGGGGAACCCTAGAGAGGACACATGGACAGCTGTGGGGAGGCAGGGACCATAATTCTTGGCAACTGATTCATTGGTCAAGACCTCAAGGGATGAGTTCCTGTGCTCACTGGGCCTAACACTAGTCTGTTCTGGCTAATAAAGAGTTAACTCCAACATGCATGGTGTGATTTACTGCTGACTTGCTCCAGAGCTTCACCACCAGCCTTCTCTAACCTGAAATCCTGGAGAGCCACTGTCAGAGTAAGGGATGCTAAGCTAGATGACCTGATAGACACCAGCTTCCCAAGGCTTCATATTCAACACTGGCATCTTCAACTAGGTGGTCACAGGTGATGGGATTGGAGTACACCTCTGCTTGAGGCTTTGGAGAACCGCTGCCAGTGGTGGAGACTCTGTTGCTGAACCTCAACACTCATCAACCTTGACCACTGGCTCTGCTGAGTAGGGCTGAAGGGAGCTGGAGTCCAGCAGCATCTGAAATAGACAGTGCTGGCCTGGTGGGAAGGAAGACTCCTTTCTTGTTCAGCTGCAGCTTGGGCTCAATGCCCTGGGGTAGCTCAACCAGTAGAGCATGAGACTCTTAACCTCAGGGTTGTGGGGTCAAGCCCCATGTTGGTCAAAAGATTCCTGAATTGCAGGGGGTTGGATAAGATGACTGCGCCCCAATGGCCCCTTCCAACTCTACAATTCCATGAGGTTGCACAGAGATGGGGATGAAGCTCACCTTAGCACTAAGACTCCTGCACCGGCAAAGGAAAGGCAAGCTCAGGAAGCGAATGAGGGGTGTGGCAGCCCCCCAAAATTGTGCCCGATAACGTAAAGCAAAGTGACAATCAGGCTGGAAAATAAAAGCCAGAGCAAAGGCAGATGCAGACCATTAAGTTAATTAGTGGCAAGGTTCCAGCAGAGCTCGCCCAACCAAACTCGATTATTGTATCGCTTTTTGAATTTTCCAGTCATTTGCAAGGTCATCTCCTTCGTCTAGTAACAGCCCGGTAATTCAATTGCAGGTTTATTTTCTCAGGAAGCTGCCCTCCTTTAAAAAAAAACAAAATAAAGAGCCTATCCAGCTGCTCTGGGAGTCCTTGTCAAATATTGGGACACTCCTAATAAACTAACACGGCTTTTCTTTCCAAAGATGGTACAGAGTACCAAAGAGAAGTCTGTCTTGTCTTTCCTCATCTCCGCCCTCCTGACATCTTTTAATCAAACCTTTGTTTGCTCACAGGAGAGATCTAAGTTCCTTTACAAATAATGGAAAGTACTTCTTCACGCAGCGCATAATTCAACTATGGAACTCACCGCCACAGCAGGCAGTGATGGCCACCAGCTTGGAAGGCTTTAAAACACTAATTCATGGTCTGGTTTGTCAGGGTCCTTCCTAAAATGTCAGTGCCTTTTGCATGTTTTCCCGTCTTCAGTGCTGATGCTTGCATGGACCCTGATAAACCACACTGCAATAAAGTAATCATGATGTTAAACACTGCAATAAAGCAACCTTGATATTAAACATTGTAATAAATAAAGCAATCTTGATGTGGTCTCATGTCCAATTGCATCAAGATTTCTTGCTCTTCGTATTTTATCACTACAGTGGTACCTCGGGTTAAGAACTTAATTCGTTCTGGAGGTCCGTTCTTAACCTGGAACTGTTCTTAACCTGAAGCACCACTTTAGCTAATGGGCCTCCTGCTGCCGTTGCACTGCCGCTGCACGATTTCTGTTCTCATCCTGAAGCAAAGTTCTTAACCCGAGGTAATATTTCTGGGTTAGCAGAGTCTGTAACCTGAAGCGTATGTAACCTGAAGTGTATGTAACCCAAGGTACCACTGTATTCTGGTGACAGTAATTTGTTTTCATTGTTTCATTCTGACCCTTATATCATTGTAACCCACCCCAAGACCTCCTGGCAAAGGACAGGAAACAACAACAAACGTTAAAAATCACACAATATTATCGGATTTCAAAATCAAGTCAGCCATTTTAAAATATACATTATAAAATTGAATTGCATCTCAAAATACATGTCAGATTTGCATATATGGGTAGGCTGCTTAAATGGGGGGGGCATTCTTAGAAGGCTTAGAAAACTGTACAGCAGAGGTGCCTGCATAATATCAATAGGCAAGGAGTTCCAGAGGTGCTGTCATGGTGGAGGACTGATTCCTCAGAAGTGTGGAATGAACAGAAAACAAAGAAGACTAAGTTGGGGGATAGCTTAGTCGGCGACTTAATCTCAGGGTTGTGGGTTCAAATCCTCACATTGGGCAAAAGTTTCCTGCACTGTAGGGGGCTGGACTAGATGATGTTTGTGGTCCCTTTCCAACTCTACAGTGCTAAGACTCCAAGATCCACTTCCACACATGAGCTTGGCAGGCTGTGCCAGCGTCCCTGA